GACCCTTACTTTTGCTCCTGATCACATGATGAGGCACTTTTACTGAATGGCCATGGACTAATTTATTCTGGAATTACATCTGGATCACAGCATTCTTCTTAACTGGGGAGTTTGTGTATTATGGAATTTCTTGGGAAATTGTTTGGGGTTGGTTGTATTATCTCTTTGGCTCACAGTGAACTGTGCATTTATATTAAGTCATTGTTGTTGTGAAAATTTAGAGCTATACTCTTGGGGTAAGAACTCTCCTTATATCCATGATACAAAGGCCTCTTTAATATTGTCCAAAAATATCATTTAGTTTGACTTTCATCATAAAGACACAACGTTGTTCATTAGAGTTTATTTGTGAGTTTTGCAACTCACCAGATTTACATCCACATCTGATCTGTTCTATCATGTTCAGTAATCATTTACACTTAACAATGACATGTTGAACAATAGTACTCTGTTTAAGCAATAATAATAATACTAATAATAATATTATTAATAATAATAATAATGACAAAACATGAATTAACTACATAATATAACTATAATTGATTCATTAAAAGACCAAATTGACTTTCCATGTATTTCCAGATTACTGTCATTTGTCTTTTGTCATAGTTTATTAAAATAAAGGCATTAATTTTATTTTAAATCTATATTTTTAGTGCTATATTTTGATTTGTAACACAAATTCTTAAAAAAGGGAAAAGATTAGAAATGATTTGGGTTATAAATGATCATTATTAAGTGCTGTCAAATCATTTCAGACTCCTGGCAACAATATGGGTAGTGTTTCTCCAGAATATCCTGTTTTCTCTTTGGGTACTGAGGCTTCAGAATGGCTGTCTCATGATTCCTCTGATTGTCTCCATTCTTCTTGTAGCTGGTGGTCCTCTTCGTCTAATACCTTCAACATTTCCAAGCATAATGGTCTTTTCCAGTGAACTGGTTCTTCTCAGAATGTGTCCAAAGTAAGAGCTTCAGTATGGTTATCTGGGCTTTGACTGAGAGGTGAGGCTTGATTTGGTTGAGGATCCATTCGTTTATTTTCTTTGCTGTTCAAGATACTCCTAAAATTCTTCACCAGCACCAAAGTTCAAAGGCATCTAGATTTTTTCTGTCTCGCTTGTTTATTGTCCAGCTTTCAGATCCAAAAAGAACCACAGAGAAGACCACAGCCTGGACAGTTCTCGTCTTTGTTTGTAGAGACAAATCACTGAATCATTGCATTTAATTATCTTTTCAGGCTCCTTCATCCTTCTTCTGCTGAGCACCAATCTGTGGCGCATTTCTTGTGTGCTGGATCCTCAGCTGTTAATAATTGATCCAAGTAGGCAAAAGGCAAAAGGCAAGTCTTCTCCATCAATGGTAAAGTTAGCGGTCTCTCCTGTCGTCATAACCTTCTTCATACTGAGTTCCATCTTTTCACTTTGATCTTCAACCTTCCTTATAAGGGCCTTCAGGTCTTCTAGATCATATAAATGATACATTCAGCATAACTTTGATGATAAATTTATGCAGATTCACCACTTGGAAGTGGGTGGTTGGATTGGCTTCTTACACCATAGGGGGGCATCTCCTTATACTGTGTCATAAAAAATGAAACTGCCTGCTGTTTCAGTTTATTTCTCCTAACTGTGTGTAGGTTTGTACATCATCACCAGCCTGCGCATGCTGAACTCAAACAGAGAGATTAGAAAGCATACAAACAACATTAATACAATAAGTAGTGATTTTCCACATGTGGTTCAGCTCTACAGTAAATGGGCATTGTTTTTAGGGGGCTTTTCCCCTATACCTAGTTTTCTTTTCTTTCTTTTTTTAACAAATTTCAACACGTTTCCTTTATTTTATTCAATAATTTCTTATTATTACATCAGGTACACGTATATTTTAAGATGTTGTAATTGCTGGCAACATTGTCTATACTGTATGTGAGAGAGAGAGAGGTACAGAGAGAGAGAGAGAGAGAGAGAGAGAGAGAGAGATGATTCTGTGAACAGACAATTTCCATACAGTGGCATTTCGGGGTGTGTGTGTGTGTGTGAAAGCCCCTCTGTACCAATTTGTAGAGTTTTATTGCGCTTTGATGTTTGCTACTCGCGCCCTTTGATATGCGCGCGCGCGCTTTTCCCATGTAAATGCGCGGCGTCACTCGGAGGCGCGCGGCAGCTCCGCGACGCTGAGGGGTGAAGAGCTCCGCGGCTTTGAAGTGCAGGTAGCTGGAAATGCAAGACAAAAGGGGGGCTGGCGCGTCATGCGCGCGCGCACGTGTGCGCATGCCAGTGCTCCATTAGAGACAGAAGTGGAGTCTCGTGAGCTCTTTTTAATATTACAGCTTCCAGTGAAGTGATGACGCTAACTCTGCTCCTCCACTCATCAGTCTGTGACTCAGCGAGGGGTCAGATCAGCTCTGCTTCAGGAAGCAGTTGCGCAGTGACCAGAAGCCAAATCTGTTCCTGGACAGACAGCAGTGCGGTCTTCCTCCACTAACCTGCACTTACTTCACTCTAACACACTTATTTCTGAACAAATGAGCCTGATGAGCTGACTGAAGTGCTCAGACGTGCTAGATCAGGAAAACCCAGGCTGAATCATAAACGCCTCCCTCCTCCCAGAACAGTGAGTGAACTGTGATTGGGAACCACTGGCTTTAGCATTTTCCCAGGAACTGAACTGCCTCCTGACACACAGTTACTTCCTGAATCACAGCCTGGAGAGTTATTCACATTCACACACAGAGGCCAGTGGAGAACTGTTCTGCTCATTATATCAGCAATATCATAAGACAACATGTGTCTCTAAAGCAGCAACTTTACAGAAGAATGAAAGAAAAAACTTGAATATATTTAAATGAACAAAGATTTTACTATAAGTAATTTTGGAACATTTCTGTCGGTCCATTTGGAAGAAAATGCGAATGGCGCAAAAATATGGGATAAAAAACAAAACAAATAAACAAACAACAAATAAAGATTTGACAATGACACACTGTAAAAAAAAAATAGGTGTTTCAACTTAAAAAACTTAGTTACTGCACTGCCTTACAGTTTTGAGTTTACTGTACTTCAAATAGTAAGTCAAAGAAAGTCAGATAAAACAGTTTTTTTTCAGTGTATAGATAGATAGATAGATAGATAGATAGATAGATAGATAGATAGATAGATATTAGGTACTAAAACTTAAATCTGAGTTAAAAGTTATCTATCTGGGCAGAAATTGTTTATTTGATCAGAAAAAACACTAATATTACAAAAAACATAAAAAACACTAATATAGTAAATAGTGATTTTATACTTTTCAATATGTTTATTTATCTGTTTCCTTGAGGAAGCCCAGCATTGTAGCTATAGTTCAATACCTGGTTTGGTTAATCAGTCATGTTAAATCAGGTGTTCTGGTGGCATCGAGAAGAAATCTAGAACCAAACCTAGCTCTCAGGACACCAACTACAAATTCTTCATAATTTTTAATGCCTTAATGTTATCATTGAATGTATTCTAATATTTTAAAAGAGCCCATCAACGACTCTGTCGTTCTGTACCAGCTCAAAAGTTATACTAGTTGCTGCAGTTGTATACAGCTGTGATAGAAAGCGTGCTCACTTTCTCCGTAACTGTGTGGTAAGACAGCTCCACAGCTGTGCAGCACAGAGAGCTTCAGAGAAGTGTGTGTGCAAACACTGTGAGCTACCGTGTATCTCCAATGAGATCTGTGAGACCCAGATTCAGCACAAAGGTCTGAAAATACTGCAGGACTCTGACTACCCTACTAACCCCCTTCTCACACCCCTCACGTCAGGAAGAAGGCTCAGATCAATCAAAATACAAACTTCTCAGTATCTGAGTAGCCCTTACTGTACTACTATTTACATTCTTAATAGCTCCACACTAATTTTTCTTAATACTATGTTGATGGTACTATCCTTTTATAGCTGATATGTCTAAACAGCATTTGCTTTTGTTTGATTATAAGGTAGCAGCTCTTATATACATGTTTATGCTGTAACTGTCTTTTTCTTTAGGCAGACTGATTCCTAACCACCGAGTTATTATTGCAATAAGTGAATTTTAAATGGTATTTTTACAAGCAAAAACACTTTTCGCCAGATTAATAGTTCGCGTAAGTGCCTATGACTTTTGCTCACACAAGGTGTTCGTTAATATGGGACACTTATGTTAAAGGCACTGACTGGAAAAAAATAATTAAAAAAATTATGATTAATAAGCAAAATGTTCTCATCACTCACACAGAAAGTGTCAGTTTCAATATGAATAAGGATGAGTTTGTTAAAGTGTGTTCAAGTACCTGATTTGGATGCCTCTGGTCAGATGACAGTAAACTACTATTGTTCACTTGCTGGATTTAACACAATGGGGAAAAATAAAACATCAAACGTGGCCTGTGAAAAAGTTATGGCACCTTTTTGTTTATGTTTTTTTTTTTCACTATGTTAAACTCAGCAAATAAATAGGCACAGCAAATAAATTGTGCACTAAAGTTTGCAGACCAACGCCATATTTAAGTGTGTTCACTGTAGAGGTTGTGTTGCTTATTTTTACTTAGAAAGTCAACAAAGCATGTAATTTGACTGGGGGTGTTTAGACCTTTGCATACGACTGTAGATGCCTATGCAATATAGAGATAGCCAGACAGGCAGACTGTAAATAAGTGCAGATTCTCAGTGTAACAGCATCCACACGACTGTATTAGTAGCAGTTTTCTGCTGCCAAAACTTTGCGCCTAAACTTTTTTTTCCCAGTGTGACCAAAAACCCCTTCAACTTCTCTCCAGCTCCGTTTCTTAAGATCTTTGGTCATTGTTCTCTCAGGACAATACACACAGGGGCAATAATAACCCCCCCCCCATTCGCCACCCCCCATCATGAGGCGCCCGTCATCTTGCCCCGGTGGTTGTAAAACCAGCGCGCGCGCGCGTGCGTCACCGCGCTGCTGTGCAAACACACCTCGCGCTCAGGTGCGCCCTGTGAGCTTCAGGAAAAAGGAAGATAGCAGGAAGGAAGGGAAGGGAAGGGAGGGAGATAGAAAGAGAGAGGTGGTGAGGTGGTGAGGTCCTGGTTAAAGTCAAACCGGGGCTGCCCCCGCGCTCGTGCTCGTGCTTGCGCTCGCGCTCCAGGCGCACTGGCAATGCGAAGATGTCCGTGAGCTACCTGCTGGAGAGGGACAGTGGCGGCGGCGCTGGAAGCATGTACGGGAATCCGGTGAGGCACGTGAACCTGAGCATGGGAGCCCACCAGGGCGTTTACCCCTCTCCCCCTTACTCGGACTACGGCGGCTACCACCACCACCACGTCGCCGCGCTCGAGCACCAGCAGAGCGGCTGGAGCCCGGTGTACGGCGCGCCCCACGACGAGTGGCCCCTGTACGGCCACGGCTCAGCGCACGCGTACCCCGGCCTGGGTCCCAGCGGCGTGGGGCTGGTGCCCGCTCCGGAGCAGAGGAGCCTGCCGACCGTCGGAGCTCCGAATCCTGCCGTGCCTGCGGTTGCTGCTATTAATCCGCACCTCTCCCCCGCCTCGGAGAGAGAGCAGGCCGAGTGGATGAGGCGCGTCCCACCTGCGACCACAGGTACTGAGGCTTCTGCCCTCTAACTCATCCCAGTCAGACTAGAGCCTTTTTAGTACTTGACGTTTCCAACTCTTGCTGTTTAAATGCTTAAGATCCAAAAACTGGAGCTAAAAATGAAAGCCACGTTTTAAACGTGCTATACATGCCTCTGTCTCTGTAAGTGGAACTGATCTGAAAGGCAGAAAACCCACACAGGCGTTCAAAAGTTTGGAACCACTTGCCATATTAATAATTGCTGTTATTTTATTCTAAAATAACTGAATCAGTGTAGACTTAAATACTATAAGCCACTTTAATATTTTATGCAATAGTTCAAGTGTTTTGGAAACACCAAATAGTTAATAAATGACAAATAATATACTGTAATTCTCAATTTATAGTAATTTCTTGATGATCTTATTATATGAGGCATTCTGGATGTTGTTGTCAGTAAAACCTCACTCTTGATCTTATACAGCTTTCTCAGTCACTGGGGAATATTTTACAGCGCTGCTCATTATTCTGGACACATATAATATTTCTTAGTTAAAACCTCTAAAGTTGAAGAGCAGCAGTACCATAATACAGTCATTTATCTGCAACATTTTTGTACTGAATTAAAACATATTAATTAAAAAAATGTTTAAGATTGATTTTTTGCTGCCTTCTGCTGACCTATAGACAGGCTTTTTTTTAAACTCAGTGTTTTTTGGTCCATCCATCTGCTGCTGCTTTTAAAAATAGCCAAGCAATTTAGATGTTATTAATGAATTTCTGCAGGCTTAACTGCAGCTGTAGCTCAATCATAACTGTTCCAACACATAATGTTCATGTTTTCTAATCTTGACTCTTCAACTTTAAAATCGATTCTGCAGCTCAGTTAAAACAACCAGTGCTGCTGTGATTCAGCTTCATCCATGTTGAGCCAAAACTGAAACCCACTTGCGCTGAATGACTCTTGACAAAAATATATTATAAAATATAATATATAAATACAAAAATATAAAAATAATATAGAAAATATATTATAAAATATAACAATGCTGCTGGTTCCATTATGTAACCCATAAATGTTACTGGCTAGTACAGTGCAATTTAGCCATTGTTACTGGATTTTCTACAGGCTTAACTGGAACTGTAGCTCACGTCATCACTGTTCCAATGCATAAAACTCAAGCATCATCATCAAGATTATGTTAAAGATGCTAGCTTTTGCTGCTTAGTTCATTCTTTTTGAGTAAACTAAAACTGAAACCCATGTAAACTTACTAGAGAAATGCCAGCACTGCTGTTGGCTCCCTGATCATGGATTGCCCTCAGTTATAGGTAGAGGCAGCGTGTAATGTATCGCTTATTAATGGATTTCTACAAGCTTATCAGGGGCTACACGAAGGCTAATTGTTATGAGGTGATAAGGAAGTGGTATTCTTGTATCGTATGTGTACATATGTGTCACAACGGCACCCAAAGACTTTTTACACTGCGATAGCCATAAATTCATCTGTGGCTTACTTTTAAAAACATATCTTAGAGAAGTAATGATATGTTGACTGGCATGGTATGCTACAGTTTACTGGTATAGAACACGGAAAGCTACGCTTAGCGGAAGAAGAAAGGCCCTGTTTCAGAGTTTGGACTCTGGACAGAATGTGCCAGCAGTTTCATTTTTTCTAATATATGTAAAGACCTGACTGCTGATTTATAATATGTGTTTTGTAATGCAGCATTTACATATATCTTTATATTATCTAATGGGTTTATTTATTTATGAATTTATTCATTTATTAGAGGCTACCGGAGTGTGTTACTACCACCGTAACTATCCATATTGCCTGCTTTATAACACCCATTATGGGGTTATCATTTGAGTACATTTGAGGCCTCATATAGCCAGTGTTACCAATTAACCTCACAACTCAAGCTTTACTACTGTATTTTATCATTTTATTGACAGGCCAATTTTTCTGTGTCTATGAGCTACAGACTATGATAATGAGCCATTAGACTACTGTTAATGTAATAGCAAAAGTGTTTCTGTAAATGTGTAATGGGGTCATGGAGAGTTTACTGAAGTTTTAACAAGCTGTAAATGGTAACCCGGTCTTTTACTCACATATATGTGGTCTCTGATGGCGTTTGAGATAGCACTCAATACAAGTTACACTGATAATTCCAGCTCAGGATAATCTTAATACCCAAATTTAGCTAGCTCAAAGCTGTAAGTTTATAGTAACCCAATGATCACCATTGGGCTTTGCATCTTGGCTAGTTGTGTTAGGTCTAAATCTTAGGCCATGAACACTTGTCCCAGTTATTCCACCATATGGTTTGGTGTAAGATTTAAGCAAATGCCTGCGACATTAACCAGTCCTCTGTATTGGATTTGTAAGTTAATGACCAAATAAAATAAAGTGAAGCATAACCTTCTGCCATAGGACGGACAGATCAGCTGCAGTTGCTGAACCTTTTTTGGCCTGTGTGCTCACCAAACACCACACTAGCTGATTTTACTAACTATCTCACCTGAGCATGCACCTCATTTAACTCTGTATCTCACTGAGCTCCCAGCTAATTTAACTCACTATCTCAGCTGAGTTTGTACCATATTAGTCTAGAAGTCCTGGGTTTGCTAGAAGAACAGACAAGACCCACTAGAGCCAGTGGAATAATCAGTAACATTGCTTTGTATTGTTAATGTAGGCCTAACATACAGTAGTACAGTAGTGATAGTAGCAGATAGACTAAGCTTCCCTAAATTGTATGCTCTACAATTTTTACAACAACATAATGATATTTGATTTGATCTAAAGGTACAAGAAAGATCTGATGTTGATTTCAACGCACTAAAACTCATAGACATATGAGACCTAAATAAGAGAAACATTGATCAGCTATTTCAAACAATCGTATTGCATTTAACAAAATTTGGTTTATTAGTTGTTTCATAGTTTATAAGCAATGGAATCAGTAATCCTCACCTACTGGGTCATAATTTGGCCTTAACAATAAATAAATATATAAATACTACAACCACTACTAATACTATTAATACTATGACTACTACTAAGTACAAACAAAATACAAACAACAACAGGATCCCAGCATTATTTGCTTGGACCCCTAATACTACTACTAGTATTCTACTAATCCCACTACTACTACTACTACTGATACTAATACTAATAATAATAATATTAATATTAATATCAATATGATAACAAAGTTCCAGCACTATGCGCTTGGATCCTGACTACTTCTACTACTATTTTAATACTTCTAAGACTACTAATACTAATACTAATAATAATAGTAACAATAAAATAATAACACAGTATAATTTGGACAATTAATTTGTTCAGCACTGGTCCTTGTTTAGCCATGGAGTGAATGGTTCCATAGTAGAGGAGTAGAGGATGAACACGCATGTATACAGTACTATGCTTGACAAGTTGGGTGTCCAAAGGTGGTGCAGTGTTGCCCAACATTAGTGTATTATCCATCACTGGGTCAAAGCACAAGGCGTCTTTTGAGCGCCACAGCCTGACGCCTGGTGAAAGATTTTCTGAAAAGCTAACATCAGAAGCCAGCCTGTCTGATGACATGCAGGCCGCACCCTGCTGTGTCCACTCCAGGAGGAACCCACGAAAACTGATAAGAGTGACAGGGGTGCATGTGTGTGAACGTGGCTGGGAGAGAGAGAGAGAGAGTGAGAGAGAGAGAGAGAGAGAGAGAGAGAGAGAGATAGCAGCTATGTGTAAGAGAGAGAGAGAGAGAGAGAGAGAGAGAGAGAGAGAGAGAGAGCATGAAAACATGTTTGAGATCGACTGCCTGAAGGAAATTGAGAAAGTAATGGTGGACACTGTAGCTGCATGACAAAAATGACAACCAAGGTCACACTGAGTGGTGTTGCATTTATACTTTCCAGACCATTTACACTTACACTCTCAGTAAAAAAATCCAGGATACAAATGCTGTCATTGGGGTGAGACCCTCAAAAGTACAGCTTTAGCACCCTAGTCGCATGACATTTTGTTGAAGTGAAAGTAAGTTAACACATCCTCTACAGAGAACACACTCCTGCACATTTTAATACACAATTACTGCTTGTTTATTGAATATTGAGAAAAGAACTGAACATAAAATCTGGCATGTACAAAGGTTACGGCAGCACATTTAATATGTTTTATTTTTTTTCCCCCAGTATGTTAATTCTCCATAGAGGATACGTTAACTTCAACAAAACCTTGTGCTTGACCGGGCATGTTCAAACCTTTGCATGCAACTGTAATTATACCACTGCAATTAGTTTTTGAATCGACTTAGTTATGACAAAGTACAAAAACACTTGCACATTTCCCCTGGTAAAGTGAATATATTACACTTTTAAAGCTCATTTAAAGTACACAATTGGACAATCTGGACCATTTTTGTACCCTTAAAGGTACATTTACACTGTTTGTAACTTGGGGGACAAAATGTACCTGCACAGTACCTCTTTTCTTCTGACAGTGCACAGTTTGGTATGTTTCAGTGCCAGTGCTGACACAGTAGAAAGTAACATGTTACAGTCATGTAGTGTACTGCATAACAGTATAATTCTTGTAATCATATTACAGTTGCTTAATAAGAATTGCATTACTTGTGTTAACCATACGTCTCTGACAGAACAACATTAATCATGCACAATGCATTTAAAACATACATTTCCTCTATATAGATTATCTGTACTAGTTCCTGTACATAATGTGTGCACAACTTTGCTACCAACTGACTGTGCAGCTTCACATATGACCCGTGGCATGTAAGCATTAAGTGCACTTAAAAATCAATTAATTAATCTAATTCTTTCCAAATAAATTACAGAAAAGGACTGTTGGGTTTTGTCTTGTATTTTCCAGTTGGAAGATTTATTTGGGATTTAGAGAGAAAGGCAGAATATGTATTACTATAATAGGTTACTTTTCTGCTTAACTACCCCAACACGGTTGAGTATTTCGCTATTGTTGGAATAAAACCTTGTATCTCCAAAATGGTAACTTTACAGAAGAAGGAAAATAAAAGTCAATGTAACCAGACTTTTTCCAAGTAACTTTGGACCATTTCTTTTAGTCCATTCATCATGAAAAGTCAAAAATGGAGATTTTAGCAGTGATATACTTACACACACACATTTTCATATTATGTAGTTTGTGTTCATGTTATGTAGTTATGTAGGAAATTCCAGCAATGTATTTGAAGACTCAATATGCAGTTAAGCACAAGTGAGTTTGAAAATATACAATAATTAACAGCCATAATGGCTTCTGTCCATAAAGGTACTGTGTCCATGAATGCAGCTACAGGCAGTACATTATATATATATGGTATATAATATAATTACCTGTTTCTGGTGATTTCTTGACAAAATATCCACATCAAGATTTAGTCAACACTCAGCAAATTCCAGATATTTCATCATGACTTCCGTCTTTATAGCATAACATTCTTTTTCCCTCCAAATTGAAAACACAGATTCTTCTCTGTGGACACATGCATGTGTACTAACAGCATGTCTTATCTCACAGTATGTCAGAACATTTGCTCATTATCATTATATCAACTCAGTGTCTCAACAGAACATATGCTAGATCAATACCATTAGTGACTAAACCACCTTAAGCACTGGGTGTATATATTTGTCTTCTGCCTGTTTTTTTTTTCTTCACAGTGCAAATAATTATCCGTTTTGATAAAAACCGACACAAAAGTTGACTCTGAGGTCAAGAGATCCATTGGGTTCAACATTTCTGATGCTGAAAAATAGCAAAAAAATAAGTTAGAGTTATGTTTATCTTTTGTAAATTATGTTTCTTCAAAGTAACTGTAAAATACAAGAGACTAGAGGAATTTAATAACTATATTTGTTTTTACTGAAGTGAATGTACAGTATGTGCATCTTTCGTTTTCTTTGTTTTCTTTGTATGAAAACCTTTGCAATTTTAGCAACTGGAGTTTTTAAACTGCCTTTATTTACAGAGTAAATTCTGTCAAGGATGCACATCACATTCATCTGTTCATAACTGATTAGTGTAGCTTCGGCAGTTGTGAATGTTAAGGCAAGCATATGTATCACATTTTGATGAACTGGACATGAGCATATACTATGTAGATGGTTTGGGGAACAGGTGAGGTAGCATGAAACGGATTTATGAGAAACTTTTGATGGTTATCAAATAGATATAAGCACAAAAATCACACATACAAGTGAACTTTTAGAACTAAGAATAATATTAGAACAACTTGCCTACTGCTGTGATCTTTTAGAGACTAAATATATGATTAGAAGGCTGTCGTTTCTTTGCACTTTGTTTGAATACTGCCTCTGTGCTTTAAAACAGTGACTGACAGATTTTTAATGGGATTGATTTAATTAATAGTCCTGACAAATAGTCCTAGTGTTCTGTGTACACAGTTATGATGCTGGTTTATATGTCTTATGATTCATTTGTGTCAAGCAAATACTATAAATACAAGAGGTGATAGATTTTGATATCACTCAAAAGGAACTTACATTTTATGAGAGGGAAACACAGACAGTAATTTATTTTACCACCTGGATGGACGACCCCGAGTATTTTAAATGTTAAAAAAGCTGATACTCTGGGATATATCACCCTGCCAATTTCAAGGTCAACCTCTTTGACCTATATGCAAACAAAGATATAATGACGTTAACCCATGAAGCATCCATATAAGGACTGGTATTGACCACTCCTACCCTCTTAACTATCCTTTACAGAGCAGCACAGACTCCTCATTCCACAAAAAATAAAATAAAATATATAAAAATAATAAATTCATCTTTGCTTTGTCCCCTGCAGGAGGGAAGACCAGAACGAAGGACAAGTACAGAGTGGTGTACAGTGACCACCAGCGGCTAGAATTGGAGAAAGAGTTCCACTTCAGCCGCTACATCACCATCAGGAGGAAAGCCGAGCTGGCTGCGACTCTTAACCTCTCGGAACGACAGGTGGGTGAGCCAAGACCATATGAAACCCCTGGGTAGGGCCACACTTCAATCTCTCAGAACTACATAACTACAAGATTACCTTCATAGAGGTTTCAAGATGACTTACTGAATAAGAGAACTGGGGTTCAAGGTTTTAATAGGCTGCTAGCAACACAACTCTAAGGAAATGGATCCAAGTCCTGCACCTGGAGTACCCGTGCCTGCATGCTTTAGCGCTTTCCCTTGTCTAACACACCTCATTCAACTAACCAGCTCATTAGCAAGCATTTGAGTTGTAATGAGCCTTAGAGCATGGAAAAAAATAAAATCACCTGTGTAGTGGTACGTATTAGGAGGTATATGACGTATATTCATCTCTGAGGAGACTGATTTCCCTTAAACTCACCTACAAATAGCAATAGATACATTTGTGTCTGTGACTTTGTGCTTGACCACAAACAGCAAAGACTCATCCAATCACAAGCCATATCGTCAGCACACACCTTATACGGTCAAAAGCAAAAGTCTGAAAACAAATATTTTGTTGATTTTCTGAATGAAAACTGGTTAACTCATTCTCTATAGAGAACACACTCAAACATTTTTTTTTGCAAATTATAGCGCACAGTTTCTATTTATTTGCAGAGTTTATCAAACTGGGAAACATAGAATATTTAGAATAGTTATATTTGCCCCTATATGTCAAATTCAGCAAATAAACAGTAACTCAGCATTAAAATGTGCAGAACACACCTCTGCACATTTTAATGCTGAGTTACTGTTTATTTGCTGTAGAGGAACTTATTTTTCACTCAACAAAATGTCATTTGACGTTTTGCTGCCTAGCTAATCTATGGCAGTAGTGCAGGAATAAACATGTGTTGTTTGACTTTATGAAAAAGGCTACAGCTGAGTCTGATGACAATAACTCCAATAGTCATGTTCCAGTCCATATTTCTTGAGATACATTGGGATTGCCTTCCCATCAACTTTATTTGGATGAATTTCAATCTTTTACACTTGATACGTGAACAAATGCATCTATGTAAAGTAACTTAGGGGGGAATGGAGCACGACCTAACACATTTTGGTTTTTGTTGAATAACTTTAAAAATAGTGACGTTGGGATAATAACATTTTTACACAAGCAACATATACATCTCTGCTACAAAAGAACTTGAACTTTGTTTCTAGCACCTACTGATTATGTACAATTCCACCCAAAATGATGGTAAGCGCAATGTTACAGTTTACTCCACAGGTGGGGTTAATTGTAACAGACAGGGCGTTAGAAAAGTCTGATAGAATGAGTGCAAACAAAGTTAATTCAATATAATTCTATGTCATGAGAAGCAAATATATTTTCCAACCATACAGCATGATATATTGTCTATCTGTACATCAGACAGACAGCTCAACTGATAGATACACATCAAATTATATATGAAAACTGACACGAGACTGTGCGTCAAATAATGACACATTTAGTTTTTGTCCAGTGTAGGACAGCAAATAAAAACATCACACAATTAAATTGTATTAAAATATTTATTTTAAAACCAAAAATACTAACATCTGAAAGATACTAATAAAGTAGAAGAAAATCCCTGTTTTCAGATGTTTTCTCTTTTCATTTTAAAATATGTGTAAACATGGAATAAAAAAGACAAAATTTACTTTATTTGTCTTTGTTTACTAAAGGTGACTTAGTTGATGATGGTGAAGATAGTGATTAAAATAATATACGGTTGGATTTTGTGATTTACACAAACAGGTCAGTAACTGAATAAAATTACTTACATCCTCTGAAAACACTCTTTTGCACAGATCTCTTTAAGACGCTGACGAATAGCTCTGAATTTTCACAGGAGACCGTGACTAGAAAATATGATAATGTGGCCAGAAGCACACGCTGCTTGACCTTCTTTAACAACACAAAATGTCGGTTGTTCCCACGCTCCCCTATATTTTATAAAGTTTAGATTGATACTCTTTTTAGTTTACTAACTTTTTAGCTTACTTTTTACTTTAATAATAGAGTAGAATGGGTTGGGAATCCCATACAAAACACAGGATTCCCACTTCTCCACTGACTGTGTACTAGTTAGAGGTACTCCTGGACTACAGTTAGCACACACTGTCCTAAGGAAGGATTTTCCACACATGGGCATCTTCACTGCTTGACCAAAATGTATTATCAACAGCTATCATCCACTAAAAATGAGTCTTAGTCCAAGACTGCTCTTAGAACTGAGTAAATATGATATAAAGGAAGACTTGGTTTTACATTGTGCTGGCGAACACTATTCTCATTCCTGCTTTGCGCTCCACAGGTAAAGATCTGGTTCCAGAACAGACGTGCCAAAGAGAGGAAGATCAACAGGAAGAAGATGCAGCAGTCCCAGCAGGCCTCCACCACCACAGCCACCCCACCCACTGTCACCCACGATGTCCATGGGAACGTTGCTATAGTCGCTAGCGCTAGCAACAGCTTGTTGACGGACACGTTATCTACCACTATCAAAGAAGAATACTAAAAACTGCTGATAGCAGAGGTGGAACACTTGAAGTGAATGTTAAACAAAATAAACGTTTACACTACACCCTCACTGATGCTGAATAAACCTATCGTATCACACTGAACACGCAAGAGAAAAAAGCAGCCACCGCTACACGAGTAGCAGCAAATGAAGCACAGTATTTCTATTGTTTTGTCGATAATCAACATGATTAAGGAGAAGCCTAAGAGTGGAGAATTTGCAGCTCTTACTGGTTCAGAAAGCTGTAATTGCTAATAATGTGCCTTTTGAGATGACAATATTGGATGTGCCTGAATTGCCGATGTTTGGAATGTTGTTTGAAGTGTGTAAAACCTTTTGTACTATTTGCTAGACTAATGAAAACTATGCAGAACAAGTGAATAAATTAGAAATGCCTGAGCAATACTTTTCCTACTGCTTTCACCTTGTGCACCCATCCAGGAGCCTTGTGTATAGACTAAAATGGCAATTTGTAATACATCCATACTGGAAATGTATAATAATTCTGTACTATATCAATACAGCACAAGAATCATGATGAATCATTTGAAGTTGAAAAGGACTCTACAAGTTGTAATAAACTTTTGTGTTTATTGTGTTTGGTCTTGTGCTGAATGCCCATAGTGGTTCTATGGTGATGCCAATGGAGATGATGGTAAATAATTGCACTGTTGTCATGTGAAAAGGCTGGCTGTTGAACACCTGGTGCGGATCATGAGGCTATGAGGAGCGATTCTCCAGAGAGAGAAGTTACTTTGACCCATCAGTCGTTAAGACCTGGGTGTGTCACGGCCAAAGTTGCTCCGTTTGTGGCGTAGTCAGATGATTCAGCTCAATTAAAGACGCAAGATACGTGATATTTTTTAACTGTTGACTCCTCTTGCCACGTCATCAAAATCAACCTTTGCTTTTGTGATGAATGATTGATTTCACAATGACACAATTACACTCGGCGTCCTCAGGTCACTGTGTGTTGTGTTTGTTTGAAAACACAAGAGTATACTGCACTGTAAAATGTGGCCAATTCATTACTACTTCACTGTATTTTTTTTTTTATTAAATACAGTACTGTGCAAAAGTCAGAGATCATCCTTTGTTCTTTTCATTTTAAGTCAAACTGGCTTTGAAAGTTCTGTGTCAGAAAAATGTACAGAACATATTCTACAGAAAAACATTTTACATAAAACTGAATAGAAGCCTTAACAACCTAACATATCATTTGTTCAGTATTAAGTATCCTCCCTTCACCTCTACTACAGCTTCCATTATTTTCAGGAGACTTGGGCTCAATCCCATTTCTTATTTTTACCCCACCCCTTGGTTTTAAGCCTTACCTTGTCCCTTGGAACTGAGTTACAAAGGGTAGTGGTTGAAATCTTCCCCTACAAAATGGGACAACCCCCAAATAAAAACGAACATGCCAGTCTGCAGTGATAACAGAGGAGCGGTAAAGTTCACCAACCTCCCTGCTGGGCTTTAGTTTCATTCAAGGCATCATATGCTTTCAAAGAGCAGGGATGAGACAATTATTTATTATTGTCCACCCCTAATTCTTCAGTGAAGCTAAGTCAGCTATTCGCCGGCTTCTTGTTTGAATATTCCCGCTCCACCTGGAATGGTTAAACTGCTGCACCATTTAAGGTGGAAATTTAGATAACTAGCTAGAGATCAGCATACTACTAGGGATTTTTAATGCTTATTAAAAAGAAAAGCACCAAAATACACTGAAACAACATTAAACTAAGATAATACAATGGTTATCATATTTTTTTTAACAGAGAAAATTCTCACATTTCTGGGTTTCTTTGGTCACTTGTGCAACCACCTTGCCGGTTTATCTTTTTTCTCATAACACTCCGCTTGGAGTGTGAACCTCCATTTGGAGGGCCATGTAGCCCTAAAACTTCACCCTACCCCTCTATCTATCAACTGAAATCGGGACACCCTACCCCTAGGCATGAACTCACAAAACAGAGGGGTAAGGGTTAAGTGGTAGGGACAAGGGGTGAAATGGGATTGGGCCTTGCTTTCAGTTTTTCAATATAACCTGCAGGGATATTTTTCCACATCTCCAAAGATCAGTCTTAGAAGTTGGTTGCATTTTCTGCTTCTCACATTCAGAGTAATTCCAAACACGTTTAGTAATTTTGAGGTCTGAATCTGAAGCAATGTAACTTGTACTTAATAAATAAATTCAGTCAATGAAGGGTGGTCTCTGATTTGCACAGTACTGTATATCTGCCAGACGTCTATGAAATAGGTTGTCAGTTAGATGTGTGAGTGTGAAAAATACCTTTAAAGTTCAAAGAACCTACACATAATATAATGGTTCTTTACCAGTTAAAGGGTTTTCCTAGAACCATATGTTCAAGCCAAGGAAAATTTAGGATCCTCTAGTTTTAAGGGTGCATGGGGAAACATTTAGAAGTTAGCTTTTATTTGTTTTGTATGCTTTGCGTGTTGCTTATGAGGCAATCCATTAAATCAATTGCTGTAGCTGTAAATATACGTATTGCTGCTTTCGGAACAAAACCTCGTATCTCTACTTTTGTTGTTTTGCAGTTTTTGGCATAATTTGAAAATGCCTGTTGCTCTTTACATTGTGTGTGAATTTCATGAAGAATGGACCAAAAGAAACAACCCAAAATTACTTGGAAAAAAAGTTCCACTGACTTACTTTAAAAGTAGAGTATTATTTTTCCTTCTCCTATAAAGTTACCATTTTGGAGATACAAGGTTTTGTTCTGACAACAGCGATATACAAGCAATTCACTCTTTTGTATCATACCTAAACACAAGAAATTGAGCCATGGTGGAGCTTAAGGTTGGCCTAATAGGCAAAACATTGGTATAAGAACACGTTATGCACTGAGGATATAAATGCAGCTGTTAATTTCAGTTGAATTTGTGTATGTCTGAAGTCACACAAGACTCCACAAATAAGTACTTACATAAATACTGCTGAAGTCAAACACAATTTACGCTAAACCTCCACACTGTTTTGAAATGTGATTAAAGACTAACTGTGAAAACCAGGGACCAAATGATGTTAACAGAAAGTCAAACATGAGTAACCGCCTTCAACGTAACTCCACTGCCCAAATTTTGCATAACACTCACATTAACTACACAGAAAAAGCAGCACTGATACTGAACAGAGCTGATGCTATTTGTGTGAAAAGTCACACAGTGTAGCAAAGTGCACAAAGATGTAAACTAAACCTGTAAAGGCAAATTAATACGTTCAATATATATCGACTTCGAGTACATGATTTGTATCAATGTATAAAATATACTTTGTGTGTACAAATACTTGCAGCATTTATGTCTAAAGTCATAGATATATAAAATAGCTTTTACAGTAATGACATGAGAACAGAAAGGCCTGGTTTAAGGTTTGGGAAGGCATCAAACATTAACCACGCGGAAGCAGTAAAGAACTGCTATGGACGGGGTGATAATGGGTCATAAAGATAATGTACCACTGCATTCTGATACTTTTGACCTTAGACACCATCTCTGTTTCTGGCGGTCACTTTAAAGAATTACAGATAAATGCGAAGGGTGTGTATATATATATATATATATATATATATATATATATATATATATATATATATTTTGCTAGATATGCTGAGCACATTTTACTACTTCTTTCAGTTATGATTCACATCAAAATAGTTAATAGTACACATAATGTTTCTAGGCTTTACTGCATAATGAAAGTTTTCAGCCATGTTGCCCCTATGCCCTCCTGCTCTGTAATGCTCCTTAGCTCACAAAGGGCTTGAGCACGACTTAAAGGCCAATGACTTCCATCTAAAGAAGTTGTCCTCAAAGCCAAAGCTGAACAACCTGCACACTTCATCCTTTATGCCATCTTAAAGGAACACCACGTCCGATGGAATTTTTACATTCACTCACTGAGCTCCTTCCGTGTTTCTGGTCCAGCAACGTTGGCCTCATTTTACCTTCCTGAAACACAGCCGGCCTTGGTCATTATCAATGATCTGTTATCAGCAATAAACTGCTATGATGCATTTTGCAGCTATGTTGTCCTGTTGTTTGTTTTTATTGTTATTATTTTTTTTTGTTTCTGGAATCAGGGACCTGTGCTGTTGATCCATAATCACCATTTTTAGCCTGATGGGCTGATATACTGTACACTGTATACTGTTTGACTCACAGTTTCAGTGATTTTTAAAATAAATAATAGTTATAATGAAGCGAATGCTTTGTGGAATGTCACAAAACTAATCTACAGTCTAAAATCTCAGAATATAAAGAGAACATAAAGTGGGCTGTTACAACATTTGAGATGCAGGTCATGTACCTGTAATCGTAAACTTGATCAGGGTGTTGTCTTATTTACGTACACTTCTAAACATGCTGGTATCCAGTCAACAGCTAGTGACACAACATGAGATAGAACAAGAACTGCTATCAAACTGTCTGGTAACTATGTAACATTTAGAAATCATTCACACAGATGATTTTTCAAATGATTTCTCATGATAAATTCAGTTGTTTCACATTTGTTTTTATTATCTATTTCCATTTGATGTTTTTTGAATATTTTATTTATGTATTTATAGAATTAGCACAATTGCTCTGTAAAGCCACATCTAAGAAATATAAAATGGTATATTGTTATTATTATAAAGAGTCTCCTCAGGATAGCTGTTCTTTTCTGACACCCTTAACTGTTCATTGTGTAGGCTGTGTTGTCGTTATAAGCAGTATAAGCAGTATAAGCAGTATAACCAGTCGCCAAGGGCCCCCAAAACACAGAGAACCCCACAAGTATGCTTTTTGTTTTTTGTTTGTGTTTGGGTCATTCATAATGGCTTTGCATCCATATTGTTACTTTAATTTTAATTCATCTTCATTCAGGTTATTTATTATGCACAGTCATATGTAAACGTTTAAACCCCGTTGGTCATCTCAGTTTTTTTTTATCCACATCCTCTACAGAGAACACATTTAAATATGGCATTTTTCTGCGAGGCTTAACATATTGGAAAAAAATATGTATATAACCTGTGTCATAACTTTTACACAGGCCACATTTGTTGTTTTTTCCCCCAATATGGTAAATTCAGCAAATCAAGAGTAGTTGTGCATTAAAATGTGCAGGGGTGTATGTGTTAACGTACACTTATTTTGTGTAAACTTATTTTTTTAAACTTATTTTCACAATGTTTTTAGAAAATCAACAAAATGTAATTGTGTATGGTGTGCCAAAACTTTTGATTACAATTTTTTTATGTTATTCCTATACAGTTTAGTACTTTAAGTATTCCATTTTGCTTGCTAAATAAAGTAAATGTATGTATTCATTCTTTTTGCATTCTTTCCTATGAAACAACATAATTGGGGTGGGAGGCATGTTGCTTAGCCCCCCCCAGATGATCAGAAACAGCCCTGCTGGAGAACATGCATGTAAGTCTTCTTTCATGCAACTACTGAACATTTTGTCAGTACAGAAGTTGGACTGAGGAGGTAAAGTGTCAGTCAAGCTGCATATGACTGGGACAGAAGCATGCAGCCCTAAAGGACTGGACATCCACACTCGTCCACTTTCAGTCCTTCTTACACACCAGGCTGTGATATTCAAAAACTCCTGAAAACTAAGTAGCTGGTGAGGTTGGAACTATATTATGCACTATGTTTTATACTTTATTCAATAACTTCCCATATAAGTTTATGCAAAATTTTGAATAGCCCTGGTCAAATTACATGTTCAGTGAAAATGAGTACACATCCTCTATAGGGAACAAAACTAAATATGACATTTTCGATTTCTATTTATTTTCTGAGTTTAACATATTGGAAAAAAAATAAGACAACAGCACAGATTTGATGTTTTATTTGATTCAAAATTCAGAACATGTGCACTGTGTATGTAACTGTGTTTTAAAATGTAATGTAAATGCACAAGTCTGTTCTCTGCAGAGGATGTTACTTACTTCCACTTAGAAAATCAACATAACATAAATTGACCAGAGAAGCCTAAACTTCTGCATACGACTGCACATATTTAAACAATATAAACCAAACACCAACAGACTTTTTAGACATTTTACTTAATCATCTGAGCCAAAAATAGTTTAAGTACTGAATAATATACTGTACTTATCTATTTATAGCAATTCCCTACAAATCTGATTAACTTGATCACACCTAACAAATGTACAGCATTCTGGATTTAAATCTGAACATCTCTCTTGACGCTTTACAGTCTTTTCAGGTATTCTGGCATAATTTACAGCTCCATTCATCTGTGAATATACATTTCTTATATTCTTATATTTTCTTTTAAGGTTCCAACAAATGATCTGTAACCTCAGGTGTTGCACAGTAGTGAATTGACCTTCACTGTCAGAACAAACCCTTCAGCATAAAATCTCAAAAATGGTAACTTTACTTGTTTACTTTACCTTTAATGTAAGTCAGTGTAGCGAGACTGTATTCAAAGTAATTTCAGACCATTTCTATTGGGGCATTAATCAAGAAATAGTCAGTAAAAGGTTTATTCCAATGCGATGATGCTGGAGTCATTTTATATACATCCTTGCTTTTTATTATTGAAAACTTCAAACATTTGGGCAGTATTGTGGGAGCTTTAAAGGGCGGAAGGCAAGCTTTCTTTTGCTCTTCTAATTGCTGTTAATTTTATATTACAGTATTTACATTTTGTAGTTTCGTGTTCAAGATGCTTCTTATCTGCTCTGTTATGGATTAGACTGTAAAAAACTCTATAGACCGATGTTTCTTAACCCAGGTATGTACAGTGCTAAAGTATCTCCACATTTAGGGATACAAACAAAGTGGACTCTTGTCTCAAATGACAGTGTGATATATTAGAGTTAAAAACATATTGTAATTTTTTTTCTGAATTGCTGCATATTTAAATAGATAAAATGTGAATAAAGTCATTCAGAGTTAATAGATGTAAAAAGCTCCATTCTAGAGAAACTTAGAGAGTCAGAATTGTTTCACAGCGGTGGTGACAGGAACCAAACGTCTGTAGAGTTCAAAGCCTCTAAAAGCTACATCACAAAGTTTTTACATGAAATGGTTTTTAATATGTTGCATGGGTCTTGAGACACAGAGCTGGCAAAGAGGCAAACGCCGGGTGCTGTAAGGAAAAACAGCAGCCAAAGTAATAGTCAATAAAATGGCTATATTTGTGTTGTAAACATTGCAACCCCCTGGTTCCTATAAACACCACCGTACAGAATATATCTTTATATGTGAGTCTCTTTATATCTGAGTCTGCAGGTTTCTCTACGTTGTACCATTTCATTCATAAACCGCCCAAAGCAGCAAATCTGCTTTCCATGGTTTCCCTTACAGGCATTAGGCAAATAGTTAATGATTAAGAATTTTTTGTGCATCCTTTATTACACAAAATTTATTTATTATACAAAAATATTGCTTCAAGACACCCAGAGAAAAACTCTGCTCATAGAGTACTAAAGGAATATGGTCTGCTGCCCCAGCATGAACAATACGGATCTGCAGTCCATTCAGAGTCCTACTTGAATGTTTAACTCTCAGAAGAGTTGCATATGTTGGTGTAGGTCATTCCTGAGGAAGTAAATTCAGGCTCACATCTCTCAGAAACGGTTTTGTATCGTGAAGAGCTGCACAGTGAGCGGCCCTCAAGAATCACACCTGACAACACCACTAGACCCACTAGAGGGAGCCCTCTGCCACTCTCTTGAAGAGCGCCTGCCTCTGCTGAGCGGTCATGTTCTCGCAGCTCTCCAGCAAATTGGCCACAATCAGTGTCTGCTGAACAGTCTTGGCCTTCACCCAAACCCTGCCGTTCATACCCACCACCATCTCAAAGGGGAAAATCTTCTCAAGGTCCTTCACGATCTCACTCTGGGGAGCAAGTAGTCTGTAGGGGGGAGGAAGGAGTCAGAGAGAGAGAGAGATAGAGATAGAGAGAGAGAGAGAGAGCACGACAGAGAATTACTCTATCTGAAAATAAGTGTCCTCGTTAAGTGTTTTAGGGATTTCTTCAAGGGATGTGCACAGATTTTCAAGTACTTGGTTAACCATTGTAAGAGCAAAGGTTTGAATATTGAGATCGTTCTATTCAGGTATCTGCTATGCTGCATCACAGACAGCTGGAGAGAAAACATACAGACCAAAAGAAGTTTTACAGGGCTGTGAAGTTTAAAATTAAACATATTACACTTTATTACTACAAAAGTGCCTTTAAATGAATGTCCATCTACTTTAGGAAAAAGAAAAAAAATATATAAAAAGAAAAAAATCTCACAAATCACTGTTCTCGGTATTACCTTAACAAAATACAGCGATGGACAAAAACAAAAAAGGATACAAAATCAAGAATTCTGTCAAATTGATTAGGGATATAATGCTCATTGCAGAATATTAAGTAACACAACAAATAACATTAAATGTTAGCTATATAGTGAATAATGACAATTTACTGATATTCCACTGACTTCCTTAACATCTCATAATAGGAGTGGACATACAAACAATGGAATCATGTAAAAACTGACAGAAACTTAACAGTGGCCGTAGATGCACAATATCTTTTATGCTCATGTCTTTTGGAACAGTAATTCCCAACCCTGGTGCTGGAGTACCCCTGTCCTGCATGCTATAACACATCTGACATAACCAAGCTCAAACTGAATTGTGTGTTGGAGCAGGGAAACCATAAAACATCCAGAGCAGGAGGTTCTCCAGGACCAGGACATGGAACTACTGTTTCAGAAGATAACTGCGTCACTGTTGATCTTGTTGCTGTTGCACAGTACCAAGTACCAGTCCACTATCTGTAATCTGTGTCCATGTAGGAGGACTTGCGATTTTGAATGAAAAGCAGTAACTCTGTTTGATTTGTGTTTTCTTTGCACTACTTTTCCATAAGCTTTCCACTATGTTTATCTGCATTAGAGGTGGGCAAGATAACAATATTACTTTTCTTTTTAACAACAAAGTTTGTTATCACAATGAACAATATGCCTTCTTGAGCATACTGTGGATATCGCCACGTTTCATTAAAACACTGAGCATCATTAGTGTTTAACTGGATTTAGTGCACTACAGTATGTATAATTTTGCATAAAAATCATTGTACCCAGAGTTTTCGAAGGTAGTTTTTACATGTGCCAGTATTACTGCTTTGGCTACTGGATAAATTGGGCTTTTATCATTATTGTGATACGAGTATGCAGGATAAACACATCAACAAGAGCTGCAACGACAGAACAGAGAGGTCATTATATTGCTGGCACAAACAGTTAGAAGCCTAGCGAAGGCTTCTCTGCCAGAATTGAATCCTGCTCTCCCACATGGGGGATCAGTAACTTAACCATTAGGGTAAACAGCCAATTAGAAAATGTACACATGCACAGCTCAAAAACTGCTCCACCTGAAATATGAGCAAGACATTTTTATGTTAAGATGCTTTTTGAGGTTGTAGGCCCACTTCATACCTGCGCACTAATCCCAGAGAAACCTTGAAAAGAAGCCCTTCTGCTCCAAACACTCCCATCCCATTGGCCCGTCCACAGCTGTCTATACACACCAGCTCCGGCTCCATGTCTTTGTTGGCAATAATGAACTGTGAGTAGACCAGATCTCCCACCTACAGAGCATAAAACACACACATACACACACATACATATATGTGAAGCTCTATTCGCTAAAGCAATACCCTAAGGGCTTTCTGATTCTAGAGTCTACTCTGATCGCAGGACAAGGGAAACAACAGAGTTACTTTCAGAGTTGATTCCATAAAAGAATGTTCTGGATTCTGCATACAAGACATAAGCTCCTTTCACACATGTACTTTTACAAGGGAATTTAACAGTAATCAAACAGGAAGGGATTACGTGCGAAAACAAGCCAGAGTCGAATTGCCGGCGAGACTGAAGTAGCAATTTAACCGCACAAGAGGGCTTTCATGAAAAGAAGCTGATATATATATTACAGAGAAAACAATGATGTCTTGATTACATCCAGCAAAGCTGAATGTGTCTGCGACGGTTTTATTTTGACTGGGTTGAATTTACAGGTTTTACGAGTGAAAAGCATCACTGAAGTGCACTTCGTACATGATTCTAGTAGCGTACAGCTCAAGAGATGCAACAAAACCTGCTCCTTCAGCATGGCTGCAACTGCACAAAACAGAAGCTAATAAGCAAAGTGAAACGTTTCCGTAAGCTTTTTATCACAAACATGTCGACTGTAACCCACTTTTTTTAGGCATTTTACATCCTACTCTGTCTTCTACTTTGTCCAAAATAAAACACAGCCAGACTATTCATATAAGTTGTGGAAGGATTCACTTTTCAGTGTCTGTGGACAAACTTACATGACTATGTATGAAAACTTTGAAGTGGAATCAGGATTCCTACATTCCTACATCCTCTTTTTGGGATTAAGGCCCGATATGTAGAATGTGTGTACTCTTGTCTACAAGTTTTTATATAACTTTTCATTTATTTTTTATTGTATTATTTTATGTTTTAGTTCACGTACATTGTGCAAATGCAAATTAAAGAATCTTATCAATATTTCACACTCATTGATGATACTGTACCTGCACATTGGGTCTGTTCCTCTTGGTGGCTCCTTCAAATGCTAAGTAGGATAAGGACGCCTGCTCACTGCCTCCAACATCCACTTTAAAGATATCTCCAGACTTTGCGGTCACGATACCAATCACACTTTCCCCCTTCGCTGGAACATACTGGAGAAAAAGGTCAACTAACACTAATTCTGTGATGGGTTTAAGTGACCACATTCAGAGAACACACTAGCTCTTCAGGTGCTAGCCCTCACAAAAAAGTCACATGAATTTCACACGTGAATAAAACACGTGGTTTTTGCACACATCACATGTTAAAAATGCGTTATCACATGTAAAAACCTGTTCACAAGCAAAAAAAAAACAAAAAAAGAAAAATGTTGATTACTTGTAAACACGTGTTTTTGACACTGAAATATGTGCAACTTTTCTGTAAAGGAAAACAAATGAAGACATTCACAAATCATCAGGAAAACTTTCAACAGAGTATCTAAATATTAAAAATAATTAACGGTTAAAACATGGACATTTAAAACTGGACCAGCGATATGCCCTTTTATCTCTTCAGAGGGAATCCCATTTTCTGTCTTTCGTGGAAGTTCTGAGGAAGATGAAACTGATCAATTATTTCAGATGTGAAACTTTCAAAAAATTGAAATGGACTTAGTTTAACGTCAGGCTGTTATTTTGATATTATAATGTTTGATAGAGGCTGAAAATGGACATTCGCAGTTCAGGTTTTTGTACTGTTTTATAAGATCACTATTTTACACACAGACAGAATTCTCCTTTTGAAATAAAGCTTGTATTTTTCTGAGCCGAAGCAATCTGTGCTGTACATGACGGGGATGCCTGATGATATTGGAATCATATCTGTATCAGCTGATAATTGCTTTTAAAACATTATCTGCATCGACAGATGTTTACGTTTGACTGATATTTCAAACAGATGTTTTATGACATATTTATTCTCCAAAATGTCTGCATTGTATGCATTTACTGCATCTGTAACCCTACTGAAATACATCTTTACATAATAATAATTCAGGAAGTTTAATCTTAAGATTTCTACATTTTAGAAATTTTTATCTTTTGCATTAGCTTCAGCCCACAGTTCCCATATCGCTGCAGCGCTACGCTTGTAAAAAAGATGGTTCTTCAAAGGTTCTTTAATAATTGAGAATGAGTTGTATATGGTTCTTTATGGAACCTTTTAGAAAATCATTTTATACAGCATCTAAAAAGGGTTCTTTTACTGTTTTTATTGCTTACATCATAAAAATAGCAAATACTTTTTTAGTGCTATACAGAACTATTTTCAACAGCTTCAGAAATCCTATATATAGAACCATGTGTAACAGATTCTCCTTCAACCTGAAGAACCATTTCGCCTGCAAGAACCTGCAAGGAACCATTTAAGCACGCAAATGGTTCTTTGAGTGTTCATGGTTCTCTATGGAACCACTGTCCTTGCTAAAGAACCCCTTACCTATGAAAGTGTAGTATATATGCATTGAGACATTTTAACACAGAAAATATCGGAAATCGAATCTAATATCGACTTCAGACCCGAAAACCGTATCGAACCTGAAAGTGCACGTATCGTTACACACCTATCATCAGCAGACACGGGTACGGCGCGTTGTTTCTTTCTGTAAATATGTGTGTCTCACCCGTTTCTGCTGCGAGTCTATCCAGTACATGTTTGGTGTTTTATGGCGGAGGATGCCACTTTTGCACACCAGGATTTCGTCTCCGTTCCGCCGCAGGCCGGGCCCGCAGATCACCTTCTCAGCTCTGACCGCGCTGTCCTCCACAGCCGACACGCCAAACGAAAACACGTCTCCAGGTAAAACTACCTGGCCGAGTTTGTCTTTAAAACAGGAGTAAACGCCGTCCATAGTGAAAGCGGAGTGCTCCACTCTCTCTCTGCCCATGTGAGCGGCGGACAGCGTGACAACAACACACATCCGCGGGACTTCCGCCAGAGCTGAGAGAGAAAAGAGCTCATTTCAAAATAAAAGCACCGTCAGCCATGAGCTCTGCAAAACAGACCCCCGGTTATTTTAGACAGCGATGCGCTGATGTACAATGATTATTTAAATACTTATCGCTTGTATGAAAACCTGAATGGTATTCCTATAATCACTTTAGTATCACTCGTGCAAAGAATCTGTGCTTTTTTAGAAAATACATACATACATACATACATACATACATACATACATACATACATACATAAAGGAAGGTCCTGATCACAATATACACGTACACTCAGTTAACAGCACCAGTGGTCCTATATTTATCTACAGACTCATTTCTTAACCTAAACAGGCATAAACATAAACACATTTCATAACAGATCAATGTACATTAACATTTAATTATTTTAATGACTAAAACCTGGCCGCAGGCTTCACATTTAAGCATATAAAATGAAGTAAAATCCCTAAAATAAAAACACTCCACCTTATATGGTTTCCTGTTCTTTGCTTTTCGTCGCTAACTTGAAGTCGAGCTAAATGGGAGACCAAGTGACACATTTTATGAAAATGTGATTTCACATCACACAACAACAGGCTCAAATTATATTTAAGTAAACCTAGAACTGGGTGGTTTTGGGCCAGTTGGTTCTTGTCATGAGTCCTCCACTGATATTTCAAACCAGTATTTTATGACTTATTTATATATATATATATATATATATATATATATATATATAAACACGTACATTTGTACACACACACACATATGTTCTATATTGAATTATATATTTTTATTTATATTTATATATAGTTTATATTTGTGTTTCTTTGTTTATAACTGATAATACGTTATATAATTATATATTTAATCATACAACATTTTTTGTTTAATTTAAGTAATAAGAATAAATAAATAGATAAAAATAATAAATACACATTTGTCTACTATATATTTATTAATTTATCTGAATACTCTTATTTATTCATTCATTCATTCATTCAGTTACCTTCATGTATATTAAAAGAAGTTTCCTGTTCAGACGTTGACGGGTACCAAGTTAACAGTTCTAAAGCTTTATTTTTTTTCCACTTGTATTCCGACAGAGCCCTTCTCGGATTGGCTGGTAGTTCGCAGTAGAGCCACATTAGCCAATCGTAGCTCTGGAGGCGGAGCCTGTCGGAATAGAGGTGGGTAGAATAAAGCTGTAGAACCGCTGCTCGTCTTCATTCACTTTCTTCGTTTCTCCTCTTCACTTTCCCCCCCCTTTCCCCTCGGCGAAATAGTTCTTCACTCTTCCATTTGGTTATGTAACTGTTGTAAGTACGACAGCTGGTTTACTTTGTTAGCTGACAAATGTAAAACGCTAATCGATATTAACGTTACTAGCGGGCTAACCTAGCTTACTAGCCACACAGTAGTTTGTTCTCCGTGCCCTCCAAGTCTTTAGATGAAGGGCTCGAGCACTGATGAGCGTCACTCTGTCACAGGTGAAAGGAAACACTGAGATGCGAGAGTCTTTTCAGGAAGAAGACAATCCGAGAAACACACTGTGAATAGCCCATGGATCCGGAAGTGTCCGTGATGCTTCACTGTGCTGCCTCTCAGGGTCTCGAGGAACATCACATCCGAGTAGAGATATCGACGAGGTAACTAGAGACAGCGTCACCTTACTTCTGCTCAGCAGTTTGGGTTTCAGTGGGACTCCAACATCCCACCACACGTCAGACGGCTGAAAATGCAGCACTTGTAACTTCTCATGCAAATCTCTCTCTCCAGGTTCAACCGCAGAAGCGCTCCTGAGATTGAGAAGCACATTGAGGCAGTGTGGAAGGACAGGGTGACTAAAGAGCCATGGCTTTTCAATGGGGCCAAGTTCAGACTGCACTCAGCAGAACTATCCACATGCATTCCCAGCACGTCCACAAACTGTGTTGCAGGTGATGAAGCCGCACACACTTCAAACTCTGAAATGGCAGAGAGAGAAAACCAGCTGGCAGCTCAGGAGGGGGAGGAAGCCTCCCCCACACCGGTACTAACATCATCAGCAAATGCAGGGTGCTGTAGAGATACCACAAAGGAAACCCAGAGAGGTGCTAACACAATCTCATTAAGAAGGCCTTCAGAGCGCCGGAAAGTGGTGCTCAGCTTACAGCTGGGTTTGACCTGTTATAAAGACTTTCTGGGAACCAACTGGTCACAGGAGGCTGTGAGCCTGCAGCGACGCGGAGAGGTGGAGTTTGGAGACCCTCAGGCCCTCCTGGCTCAGCCTCTTGGAGTTGGTGCTGTCCTGGTTACCTCAGATGGACAGGTGATCCTGCTCCGAAGGAGTCAGAGGGTTGCAGAGGCAGCAGGTCTCTTGGACATACCGGGCGGTCACCCAGAGCCTAAGGTGAAGTAATGAGTGTGGTATAAGAGGGAATGTGTTAATCAATTCCAGCACTTGTGGTGCTTTCTTATGGCCTTTAAATTGAAAAACTGTCATATAAACAAATTGTAACTACCAGTAGTTTGTTTTTGGTGGTCAACAGCAGCTGGTAAATTTACCGCATGAGCAATTTACAGAATATGTACCAGTGCTAGCTAGATTGTCAACTTCAATCAATTAGTTAGGAAATCTTAAACTACTTGACTGAAGTTGACAAGATGCTGTAAGATAAGATGAAATTCCTAAATCAATATAAGATTTAATAAACTGTAATATAAATTTGTAAAAAAATCTTATCTAGACCTGATTTTAAGACAAAAAGAGTATGTTTCTATAATATGGCCCCTGGCTTGTAACTCACTCACGTGTAGCAGGGTAAAGATTCTCCACAAGGGGGCACCATTAGCACTCCAGTATCTTCATAAGAGTGTTGATTCGCATCAGTGACACCGTTGCATCAAACTTGCCCAAGGTCAACACTTACAAGTTTGTCAGTCATTTACATGCAACTTACCGGTGGTAAACTTGTAAATTCCTAAGGTTACAAGGACTGAATGCCCTGTTATGCTACGATCAACCAACAAGTTGATGTCAGTGGTACCTAACCTTCGTCCTGCCCCCTGCATGTTCTGCTGCCCGATCCATTACTGGTTTAACACGTCCTTCTCCGTGTGGCCTCGCCATTACCACTTGAATCCGTGACGCCATCTTAAGGACCGTTTCATTACTTTATTAGCTTAAGCGGAGAGTGTTAAATGAGCTTTCAGAGGGATGAGGGATCGAGCGGACATTAGCGTCGACTTCGGCAGCAGAATAGAAATCACTGTGACCTATTTCCCTTGTCAAACCTTAAAATAATGGCAGACAAGGACCTTTATAAGCCATAGCAGTAAACCAATTCCAAATGCTCAATATTTTAAAACTGTATTGTTTGATTTGTTGGGCTTTAGGATGCAAAATATTCCATCTGTTTGCTGATGCAACTTCCATCACCAATTGACATGCTGCAGGCTACATGGCCAACAATAAAAGAAGGGCCCTCATCACAGTTCTACACCAAGTTGATAGCTAGACAGAGCAAATATTCACAATTTTATGTACTTTATATTCAAACATCTCAAAATATTCTGCATTGCAAAGTTTGCATAGCTAGCTGATTCGGCTGACCTGCAGAGGGCGAGTGTGCTCCGTTTGAATAATCCACACCTCATTGTTCCCTCCTTTTGTGCTACGACTGGCCCTTCTCTAACGGAGCATGTGAATGGTGCGGAGTGGGAGCAGAGTGGCTTGATTTTGTTTGGAGTTGCTTTCCAGAAAGAGCATCAGTGTTCTCTCTCACTCTGAAATCACTCCATCCTGCACGCCAAACAGTCCTTTTTTCCATGCTGACTGCCTCTATATGACATGAGTGATGCAGGACTGCTACAGCTTGCACACCACGGCCATTCATAGTGTTTGTGCTGCAGAGCAGTTCATCAGACCCACATACTGGGAATTCTCACTGATCACAAAAAAGATCTACAGAGTCAGTCTCATCTTGTTCATGCTGCACAAATGATAAAGGAAATGGTATTAAAAGAATGTGCATTTGTTTACCCTCTGCAGTTTTCTAGCTTGGGATTGGGCCATCACTTCAAGTCTATACGTACTGAAAAAAGCCTGCGTAACAATGTTTAACTAGTTTTTTGTTTAATAAAGGCCATGATAAGATAATCCTTTATTAGTTCCACTACATGGGAAATTCACAAAACACACAGAAACATGCACAAAGAAAGCACCTGGTCGACCAGCCAGGGAATCGAACCCCTTCTTACTGTGAAGCAACAGCGCTACCCACTACATGAATTATATAATTGGATTATATAATTAAAGAAATAAAGTGTAGTGTCTAGTCCACACATTAATGACATAAAATAAGTACCATAAGAATGAATCATATGGAGCAGATGCGAAGCAAATTTCTCCAAGGTGTGAGCAAGGAGCGAAAAACAAAACGCAGTGCGGAGTGTATACGGAAATGCTCTGAGAGAGGAGTGGAGAGGAGCTTGTCGCTGCACTCCACTCACATGCTCTGTTGTGTAACGTGGGTGTGACGCATGTCCGAGTGGTGAGTCAAAGTGCGTAATGGCAAATGGAAATAAGTATCAGGGCCTTAATGTTTTCCCTGCTCTGCTGCACCCACTTCAACTTGGAGCTGATAAGAGCTTGAAACTGATTAGAAATGTCAGAGCGAGGGAAATGCCAAAATATGCCAAGCTGGGATAATCCAAGACCAGGACTGGGATTCACTGTGATAAGCAGTTGAGGAACATAGAAATAAGCAAGCTAGTTCAAATCCTCAAACCCAGATGAGAATGCATTTCAGAGGGTGTTTCTAGTAGGCATCACTTCTTTAACCTTTGCTTCCAGGCTGTATGTCAGGGGGTGAGTGAAGAGGCCATCAACGTGGATCTCATGCAGGGCTGCGAGAGAGCCGTGGTTGCAGAGTTATTCTCCTCTGTGTGCGCAGAAGTCAGAGATGAGGTATGTGTACAACAGATAGTTGACAACTTTTATTTAGAGCATGAGGAATTCCTTGCATGAGCTGTAGATCGTTGCAATACTGACAAAAGCTGTGTGGTAGTGTTTTTACTTCAGTGATCAGTGCCACACAGGTAAAAACTGAGCTTGGATTGTGGATCTTATATCTGCAGGTTAATGTTCCACTCAGCTTCCTCAGTGCACCTGTTCTGATGGGAATAGCGCTAAATCACACCAGCGCAGGGCGACCCAGCGCAGAGTTTTACATCAGGTACAAACCTCACAAGGCGCAAAACTTGCCTTGAACACAGTTGTGCTTAATGAACCTTCTTCAACGCACAATGGCTTTCTTTTGTTTGTGATCAGGTGTTCATTGACGACGGAGGAGGTGAAGGACTATTACTGGCGTGGAGGTCCAGAAGCTCATGAATCTACAGATATAGTGTTTCTGAGTAGAGGGGTAAGGCGAATAGCATCAAATAATGAACTTCAGAGTAGAACTTTAGAGTGCTTCATCGGTATAAATGTCAATAATGAGGGGAAAAAAAAAAAGATAATTTAACAAATGTTCTCATTACAGGAGATGCTGCAGTTGGATGAAAGCGCCTCCTTGTGGTCAGAATTGTGCCCTTCAGCAAAAGGAGCAGTGCTGCTGTACCAACTAGTTAGGCCTGATGGAGTTTAATATACATGTAAATAAAATGCAAATCAGTTATAGAAGCAAATGAAAAGACAGGTGAGAATTTACATAAATTTATTTTTCTATATGCGTTCACAGCATGACGCGTTTTCAAGGTTTTTACCAACATAGCAAAAGGCTTGTCAAATTTAGTTCGTATTGTAAAAATGTATAAAATCACTGATGCAGTTGTCAACTTTTAAAGTTTTATACTTTCCAGACTGAATAAAATTTCCAGTTCATCTGAATGAGTCTGTTAATACTTGTAAAACTTGTGCTAAAAAACGTACTGTAGTTTCTTCTGTAGTGCAAATCTATTTCAACAGTATGCATAGAGGTAAAGTTCAAGTTTACAGCTGGTCCATGTTTGAAAAAATATTTTTGAATGCTGTAATCATAAGAAATTTTATGACTAATGACAGAACAAAACGAAGGGCAGTCTGTGTATGAAAAGAAAAGAATCCCACACTGGATTGTCTTCACTACAACAGTTTGTTGTACTATTCCAAATGACAGTGTTTAGAGACCGTAATGTGTTTATAGCTTGTAAGGACTACAAGCTATAAAAGCAGAGATGTTTAAAATATAAATCTAAATTTGGGGGCTTAACAAATGCTAATGAAATAAATATGTTTATACTGCCTCTTAACTTGTTTACCAAAAAACTTGACTGCCAAAATAATAATCTTGGTTACTACAGTAACTCTGACTTTGGTCACACGTGTTCCACTGAAAGAGAAAGAAAGAAATAAGGTTAAAACTCGGAGGGAAAAAAGTGAGGCAGGCTGTGCATTATGGATAAAAATCTCTGACCAGACAATGATTTGATTTTGATTATTCAGGAAACAATTAAATTAATCAAGCAATTTCAGTGTGATTCAATTTCCTCTCACCTGTCCAGTGCATGGCTGGTAGTAGTCCCTATACCGCTGTGGATCGCTGTTGCAGCCATAAGGTTGAACATATGTGGAGGGGTGCCAACCCTGAGCACAGAAAACCATCAAATAATGAGGTTCAAGCAAACTACTGACTGCAAGTGAGCAAAAATGGTGGTGTAGAACAAACTTACGTATTGTTTCTGTTGTCCCCACTGTGACTGGGAGTATGGATGGCGACTACATGAGCTTTGGCTCCATGCTAGGAAAGCAGATACAATCAGTGTCCTAATTTTGACAACAATGCAACAAATTGGGTCTCCACCATCATTAGTATGATGTGAAGGATAATCATCTTTTCCACCCACACTGTCCTAATTCTCTTACCAGATGGTCTGCCTTGTACATTCATGTGAAATTTGGGATGCCTGTTTTGGTGTTTCTTGCGTTTGGGCGGAGCAGGTAGGAGACGTCTGGCCTCCTCTTTATAAGTTGTAAGGAGTCTTTCTGCCTCTTCACGGCAGAGCTCCACAAACAGTATGTCCTCAAAAAGCCCCCCCTGCTCCGGGAGAGTGAAACTCACTGGAGTACCGTAAAAAGAAGAGAACAAAAAGGTTGAATCTGGATTTAGAAGTCATTTGTTACAACAAGACAAACTGATAAAATACCTTTAAAATTTCCTTAAAGGGATTGTTCACAGCCCTGTCCTGATGCCTCACAAAGTGTCACATCCTAACTAGGGCTGCTTGATTATGGCAAAAATCATAATCACAATTATTTTGGTCAATATTGAGATCAGTTATTTAACAGTCACTCACTGACTTTGAAAACATCATGCGTTTAATAAACTTAAAAATAAATGTCTAACAGTGGATAAAAATAAAAGGTCAAAATAAAAAATAATATCAACTATGTTGTACTTTTACAGCCTACTGAATCCTACTAAACATATATAAAAGTAATAAATAAAAATAAATTAGATGAGTTTGGGCTTTTAGGGAAGGACAAAGACACACTGCTATAAAGGAAAGGGTCATGCTGGATTTACAACACTTGATTATGCTGTTTCAATAATAGTTGGAAGCCAAAATCGTAGTTGAAAATAAAGTTGGTTCAATCACCCAGCCCTGTTTTTGCATGCTTTGGTAGCATCAAATGGTCTGTGAAAATGTGCATAGAGGAACCCAAGTTTCCAACCTGATGTACGAGCGGCAGTCTGAGTGTCTTATAGTTATTGGGCTAAGTGATTCATGAACATAGTGTTTTTTAATAAATCAAGTCCGAGTTTTATTTTGTTTTTTTAAGACCAACTTTTTCTGGCTTGCAGCTTGAACACTGAACGTAGTGAGCTAAACTGCCAGTGTGGTTGCAATAAAACCGCACATCAGTATTTGGTTGCTTCTGATTGGTTTAACTCAGTTCACAAACTTCATGTTATTAGAGTACATAGAGGACTCCTCACTTAAACTTAGGAACAATGGGCCTCGTTCAACAACTGTTCTTAAGGAAAAAAAAAATTTCTAAAACTCACAGTTATCATGAAGATTCTGACATTCATCAGTTTTAAATGGGATTTGTTCTCAGGTAAGAACAGAATCTATGCACACTCAAGAGCACAAAGGCGTGAACAATTCTGCAGTTTAAAAACACGACATGAATCTGACGTAGACTTTTCTTAGAACCTTTCTCAAGAACAAGTTTACAAAAGCCTGCCCATTGTTGTTGATAACGTGAACTGTAATTAAAATTGATTTAAAAATTGCACTCTTTCAAAGTGCTGTTTCGATATAAAAGTGATTAATCTTTTAGCTCTATTATTTTTGCAAGGACAGCATGTAACAGTTAATATCCAGTAGTTCTCCATGTTTGTTCGGTTGGAAACCGAAATGCTGCGAAAGTAGAAGGCTGGCTCCTTTCTTCTTGTCAAGACACTTTTACACGGCCTATAATTAACTGTAGTCTTTTCTATTGTACAGTGCTGTGAAGAAGTATTTGCCCCTTCCCAATTTCTTCTATTTTTTGCATGTTTGTCAAACTTCAATGTTTCAGATCATCAAACTACTTTGAATATTAGACAAAGATAACCCAAGTAAACACAACATGCTGTTTTTAAATGATGCTTTCATTTACTAAAAGAAAAATGCTATTCAGCTCTGCCTGGCCCAATGTGAAAAAATAATTGCCCCCTTAGCTATTAAATCATCCAGTTGACGAAATTTAATTGACTGTTGGGTTCAATTTCACTAACCACACCCAGATATGATTACTGCCAGACCTGTTGAATCTAAAACTCATTTAAATGGAACCTGTCTGGCAGTGTGAAGCAGGCTAGAAGGTCTCAAAAAGCAGCACAAGATGGCACATTCTAAAGAGATTCAAATACAGATGTGAAGTCATTGAAATCTACCAGTCTGGAAAGGGTTACAAAGCCATTGCTCAGAATCTGAGACTCCAGCGAACCACAGTGAGAGCTATTATCCACAAATGGAGAAAACCTGAAACAGTGCTCAAGCACAGTTGGGGCATGCAGCAGGACAATGATGTGAAGCACAAAAACAAGTCCACCTCTGAATGGCTCAAAAGAAACAGAATAAAGGTTTTGAAGTGACTAAGTCCTGACCTGAATCCCATTGAGATGTTGTAGCAAGACCTTAAATGGGCAGTTCATGCTCGAAAACCATCCAATGTTGCACAATTAATACAATTCTGCAAAGAAGAGTGGACCAAAATTCCTCCATAGTGATGTAAAAGACTCATCGCAAGTTATCGCAAACTGATTAATTGCAGCTGTTGCTGCTAAGGGTGGCACAACCAGTTATTAGGTTTAGGGGGGCAATTACTTTTGCACACGGGTGATACAGGTTTTAAGTGAATGCTAATCTTTCAATAAATGGAATGATCATTTAAAAGCTGCATTTTGTATTTACTCGTGTTGCCCTTATATTAAAATTAGTTGGATGATCGGAAACATTTAAATGTGACAAATTAGCAAAAATAGAAGAAACTAGGTGGGGGCAAATACTTTTTCATAGCACTGTAGACAGATCAGAATGTTTGGACAAAGGAAATTGTTGAAAAAATGCAAAGAAATTAAAAAATAAAATAAAAAAAGATCACCTGGCATGTGAAAAAGAACGAAAGAACAAGAATTTGCTTAACATAGGCACTTACTTATAATAATTGCGATGTTCAATATAAATTATTGGCCTAAGAACAGCCTGTCTGAACACTATGTTGAAATGAAAACTAAGACGTTTCGTGTCACTCATGCCACATACAGGCTGTATGTGTAGAACAGGGTTAGTGTTAGAGCTGGGAAGTTCAGGGATTGGGACTGTTCAGTGCTGTATGCAGTGCTAGAGTTTTCTAGGACTTGGAGAAAGAACCACAGTTTTAAAGAATAGCACCACAGGGGCTGACCTTTGCTCTTCAGCAGAGACATTTCAGGTACCTCCACACCCTCATCTTGCTGCTGCTGCTGGAGACGCCTCCTCCACTCTGCATCTGACGGGACCACCACCACTGCCCTCCTCCGGTAACCATGGAAACGCAGCATCTTATGCTTCCTAGCAGATGGGTAAATGTTTGCCTGGGTAATTGAAGAGGGGGTGGAAGGTGCAGTTTCAAACAGATTATTGTAAAAGAGCACAGGACCTTCATCTGCTAGGGCACAAAGTTCAGTAACCCATGCTCACAGTTAAACATTAAATATATGCTCATACGTACACACAATCAAGAATATCTAGTTTCTTTGGTAAAAACAGAAACACCTTCTATGTTGCTAGGCGTGCAATGATGACAAATCTACATATTTGTGCCGACTCTTAATTTACACTGCAGTTAAACTGCAGTGAGGAACGGCCTCAGGGAGGACTGGCTGACGTAGTTCAAATGCCCATAAATCATAAATCAAGTCTGCTCTGCACCAGCGAGAAAAATTATACATAAAAAAATGACACATAAAAAAAAATTACCCATATTACAACCACCTCAGACCCACTAAAATCTGATGTAAGGCGTTGCAAAGATGCCGTAAGACTGATGGAAGCAAGGCGGAGGCTCGCTCTATAAAAGGTATAGAAATAATCAGTGCTGACGTCAGTTTTGTCTTATCTACAGCAGGCACTGAAGGCTCGAGGCTGCTGAACAGCAGATGTTGACGGATTTTAGCTGAAGAAAAGAAATGTATCCGGAACATGAAACAGGCTAAATATAACATGCGATTACACTGGCAATTGGGAATATATGGAGGTTTTTTTCCCTTTTAATCCTGGCAGCTGTGTGAAATCCTGCTTTAGCTTTTAAATGAGCATAAACACAAATCTCTTTTCCACTGAGGAGACCCCACACATGTTTACAGCTCAGAAGGTTCTCACAAGTCTGAGACATGCCATTTGTTTGTTTTCTTGGCTGATGTAAATCTGCTTTCAAATCCCTGCCAGTTATATAGGAACCTACACCTGTAACAAACTATTCATCACCTGGTCCAGGATGAAGTTCCTTCGCTTGTTTGCTGCTATTCTGATTAGGTGAGTGAGGCACTGTGTGGCCTGCTGCAGCAGTACCTCTTTGTGTTCGGGGCCTGGCAGCTGCAGGGGGAGGAAAAAGAGGACGATAACAGTCACATCACATTCACATTAATAAAGTTAATTAATTAGATGCCTTATTTGTCTTGTGAAGATACAGTTATACCTTGACAATACAAACCTGTGTCCACATCACACTAAAATAAAGCCTTAATATTCCTTGAATATTCCCCTTCTCAATCTTTGCAGACATAAGTAAACAGCTTCCTAGAACATTCTTGAAGCCTAATAAACAGATTCAGATCTATTTGGTCTTTCCTATAGACTTGGCAGTCCGAACAGTTTTTAGTGTTGGTTTAAGGAATTATTAACACTTTTCTTATACATTTTTATGAAAGTATATCTTCTCTGTTCAAACTCCAAAACAGTAACTAAACAGGAGAGGGCAAAAACATTCTTAAAGATAATGTAAAAAAAAAAAAGTAATTAATTTTGAAGCATTTCATGAAATTTTACAGCGATGTAAAGGACAGTTGTTGGGCCCAAATGATGTAGAAAAATTAAAAATACTGTGTAAATCCAACAAAATAAATTATTTTAGTTTTAGTTATTGTCAGTCTAACTAATTTCATGTAACATCAGAGGTTTCTGTATTGCTCTTACCTTCATGCAATGAAGGATGGTGTTTGTGCTTAGCAGACTGTAACCCTTCTCTGGATTTTTGGCTAAGTGGTTCTGAGCCCAGTGGCTCTTTCCTGATCCTGGCATGCCAACCATCATCAGTACCTGGGAATGAGTATAGAGGGGGGAGGGGAGGGGGGGCCATCTGAAAATTACAACTGATCACCTTGTTCAGTACAAAAGTGGCAAAGATGGGCAGTATGGTGAAGTATCGTTATCATGATAAATTACTTAACCGTATAGTTTTCTGATTATATCATATCATTTATTTATTTACACCAATTACAGAAAGCCTGTAAATGACAACCAGTGTATAGTAAAGGGATGAATGATTTGTAGAAAACATCTAATTGTGATTTTTCTGACTAATATTGCTATTGTGATTTAAATTGTGAATATTCTTCGTAAATTGAGGTACAAGCCTATTTTTTTTGGCCAACAAGACAAAAATATCCACTTTTTTCTGGCTTGAAACTAACCTGAGCGCCAATCAGCCAGTTAGCTGTTTTGGTTGCTTCCGATTGGTCTGACTCATCTATAGGCGGTTCACTGAATCCAGGTTATTTGGTTTAATGTCCCCACCTTAAACTTTTTAAAGCAATGTTGATGATAATATAGGTTATAAATAATAATGATAATACTACTACTACTACTACTACTATTACTACTACTACTACTACTACTACTACTACTAATAATAATTTTATTTATATAGCACTTCTCATGCCGGTGGCAGCTCAAAGTGCTTTATAGACAAGTGATAAAACATAGTTAAACAACATAGTTAAAACAAAAAAATCATTAGTATTTATTTAGAATCAGAAGAAATTGAAAAAGATCAAATTAGAAGATAAAAACCACGAGACGTCCAGTTTTAGTTAAATGCTAATTTAAAGAGATACGTTTTTAGGTGCTTCTTAAAAGTGAGCACTGAGCTTGACAGTCTAATAAAAGGTGGAACTGAGTTCCACAGTTTAGAAGCACAATAACTAAAAGAGGCCTCTCCATGTTTTCTGTATTTTACAGAGGGTATTTGGCCACTCTCTGCAGATCTTAGATTACGTGCCGGAACATTGGCTGGCACATTTTTTCTTTTGTGAATATCTTCAAGAATCAGTGTGTTATATTTATCGCCCACTCTTATTTCAGAGTGTCAGTTAAATACTTTTTAAACTAAGCACCGGTTACCTCACACTCCTTCCTATGTGGTGGGGGCAGAGAGGCCCGTGTCCGCTGTGCAGATGGAAGTACGGGCAAAGGGTAATAACCAGGAGGTGCAGGATACCACACTGTCCCCTGGGGGTCCAGGTTCAGGGTAACAGAGCAGTTTTTGCACAAAATGTGTGGGTAGAGGGCTCGTCCAGCTAAGGTGGAAGAATTAATGTGAAAAGCCACCCCTAACGAATGTCCATTTTTATTAAATGTGAGCTCCGCATCGCCACCTTCACTGATGAACTGGAGAAGGAAAGAGGGGAAAAAAAGAAAAAAAAGAAAATTAAGCCAGCACATTAGTATTAGTAGTTCATTACACAAGCAGTCCCAACTATTACAGCTGGACTCCCATACAGACTATGCCTTGCTATGTTTATAGAAGAAAAAGGGGTGTAAAAATGTTTCAACATACTGTGATGCATCAGTATGACAAATCAGATTTGATTTGTAATTTGATATTTCAATACATATAAAACACATGCTGGATGAAAAATTCTCATGTTATTTTACAATGTAAAAATAAAAAACTTAATATATTCTTTTAATTGTCCATCCCCTATACTGTGTAAATGTTTGCCCCAGTCGGCATCAAGCCCATATGAGGAACTTAATGGCACCCAGGGATAAAATAAAATGTTACAACACAGATGTGTTTTCGTCTCAATACAGTTTTGCCCCCAAATGTTACTGGATTCTCTGAATTTTGAGATTGTTAAGTAGGCGAAATATGAATAACACTACATCTATGCTACAAGCAAGCTAACACTCCTGCGTACTGAAATTAGAGCACACTACAGTAATTTTAATACTGTGCTTCAAATCTTTTTTTTATAACAACACCAGCTACTCAAACTGTAGGTTACTACTGTCAAATAAGCTTACCAGTTTGCATGGGGCAGTTTGATGAGTTTGCCTCAGTGAAATGCTCAGCACTGTTAGCTTGCATACAGCAGTATGTGCATTTAGACTACTTAATGTGACATTAAGTACATTGTAATTGTACATTTGACGTTGTAATCCAGGTGAGTCATTTGCAGGAAATAATTACAAAATTGGACAAAATATATTGACTACTACTAATAGATTACAACATGATGACCCAACTTTAGTATTTTATGTACTTATTCAAAGACTAAGGCCCTGTTCATACTTGGTAATAACATCAGTCTCAACTGATCTGATCATAAGTGGCCATTTACATCGGGCATTTCCATGTTTCTCGAATGCATCTGGAAGGTACCACCCATTTACTACGTCAGTCTCTCACTGTATTTACTGTCAGACAAAAACTATACTGCAAGTCCATGTAAATAAAAGGGCTGATACAAACATTTAGACCTCATGAACCACTAACATGACGTAAATAAACAGTAGAGAAGGAAAAAATGAAACTACGCAGCTGCTTTCATCTCTGCTGTGAGGACATAAGCTGATTAAGGTAGTCCTTCAGCGCTGTCAAAGATCCATCAAAACACTTCAGCTTTCACACTGTAAATGTGGTCTTATGCGTCCTTGCCCACCTCCGACTGAGTGATCACAATGCGTCTCCAAGACTCACTGTACCGAGTACTTAGCGCTGTCCACTTATGATCGAATCACCCAGGAGGCATGTTAATGTCAAGGAGAACAGGGCCTAAGCTTGATCCAAGTTCAGAAAGCAATCCTAGTTCTCTTTGCTGCATTACAGTCAATTTTGTTCAGCAGGTAGTTAATAGAACCATACCGCATAGCAGCCAATGACATCTCCCTCTGAGAAAGGCTCCCCGAATTCCTCTGCTTTTCCTGCAGTCACTGCTCTGCCTGCTCCATCAAAACCAAATGACAGCTCCTCCTCTCCTAGGGCAAACCACATACAGAACAATGAGGCTGATATAGACACTTCTATCGTTTCCTGAATATACATTTCAGGTATTATTTGTCAATGCCTGTTATGTTATGTTACATCCTACGGCAATATTATACCAAATGGCTCCAACAAGGGCAGCTCTGTTACGATGATGAATGTTTTCATATTTTGTACCTAGCTGAAGGCTTGTGCTGTCCACAGACCAGCCCACTCTGAGGACATGTGGCTCAGGGTCAAAACTCATGTCCACTGTAGCTGCTGACAATTTCTTCACAAACTACAGAGTAAGAGAAATGCAGTCAGGATAAATATCACAGTAAAGTTCAAATGATACTATTTAGAACACCTGAAGGTTACCACATTGTCCCTTGAGCTCTGTTTATAAAGCAAAGTACTTGGTCTGGGGCATCATTAAGAATGAAAGAAGCTGTAGAACTTTAAGTGAGTAATTCAACTTGTCCAGGGTTAGTTGTTCTGATTGACAATACAAACGCAAGTTCTCACAAAGTTTTATGATAGCAATTACGGAATACATCATCGGAAGATACAGAAAAAACAAAAGAATGAACTGAATCAATAGAGAATTTCATTCCAGCATTCATAAAATGCAGACGATAAGGCTAGGCCTGGGTATTGTTCAAAATATTTTGATACCGATACAAATAGAAATACCTTGATTTCGAGAACTTTCTTCATATGTTTTTCAATACCTTCCCTTAAATTACAAACCAGAAGTGGGTGTGGCTTGAAATAGAAATTGTATCAAAAGTTTGAAGGCTTTATAACTATATGTTTACTGACTTCAATAGACGGCACAGTAATCAAGAAGTGCTGACGTCAAAAACATACATTTGGAATGTAATTAGACAGCCAATCAGCAGTTCAGATTTTGAAGAAAGAATTCTGATTGGATAACAGATGCTATAAGACTGAGCGAAGTATTGAAATTTGGTAATGAACAACACAGAATGTTTCCAATCAGTAGCACTTTAGTAATTCGGTTAAACCCATAAAAGTACTGAATTTCTATATCCAGCCCCAGATGAAGCTCTAAAGCCCAAATTCTTACCTTGACTTCAAATCCTGCTTTTCCCTGATTAAATCCATGGGTTAACCGACACCCTGACCGCAGTAGAGGGAACTTCTCCCAGAGTAATGGCTGACCGCTGCACCCGTCCACACCCACTTCAAAGTGCAGGTCACTGTTGTCTGCAAGACACAAATACCAGCCAAGCCATTTATGAGGACTCACCTTCACACAGGCACAAAGCATAAAGACTAGGGCTGAACTGATCTACTGGTTAACTGATAATCTCAGCCAGTACTGATGGCCTGTAGATTTATCGAAAATATCGCCACTTTTTTTAGTCGCATCATCACCGGAATTCAAGCTCATAATTTCCTGACAAATGGGCAAAACCTTAAACAGATGAGCCGGGGATACAAATGTAAGGCACCCAACAATGACAGGAATAGGCTGACCTGTATATCTGAAGACAAAACACAATCATGCTTAGTACAATAAAATCATGCAAAATGTTTCCAAACCTAACATTTAGCATAAGGATAACATGTTATAACCACAAACCACTCTTTATTATTAAGATAACGAATGAAAAATAAGAAAACCAAGAGGTAATTATCAGAAACCAACCTCAAAGAATACCCCCAGCATTAGAATATTTATATAACTAAAGATTTTCATTTATATATTTATACAATAAAAGAGTGTCTACTGTTTATTTTTAAGAAATATGACCCCTGAAATCAAATCACAACAGTTAGTAAAGCACTAGCCACCTAAAGCTATTGGAGTATTGGAATTAATGACCTAATTATGAAATTAAAACCTAAAACATAAATATAAAATAATATTGGCCAAAATGATCAGTTACTGGAACTTTTAACCCCTGAAATAAACACTGGCCTCAAAATTATATCAATTGGGTCTTAACAAGGACTTCTTAGTGGCTTTAAATGAACATATGACACTGTGTATAAGTGGGTCATTATCAGGTATCTCGGCATATAACTTGGTTATGACAATGCAGACTAAATATTATTCTAAACAAAGTGGTTATTATATGAGGATTTAAACAGATGAAAATTAATCTCTTCCATTTTATTTCAACATGCCAACAACCCATGTTTACCTCAAACTTTCTATATGGACCTTTCCAAAATACAAATGTAAATGGGGTCCTCTCATTTGAATAATTCGCATTTCTTAAAATATCAAAAGCTACTAGATGATGGTCACAGGCTTGTCTCACCCAGTGGCATGTGTTCTTTTACTTATTAACTTACAGTTTAGAGATATGACAACGCACTCTATCTTAACTAAACTAACGCAAGTTTCGGATCAGTGTGCATTTGCATTTGTAAATCCTATGTAGAACATGTCTCTGTAGAAGCAGCACGGCTGGTTATGAGTGACTTCATTGTACAGTGAGTGATGTACAACAACAGGCCACTTCACTATGTAGACCTTCACACTTCCACACTTAGTCCATTTTACCATATAGGTGCACTTTGTACTTCTACAATCAAAGACTGCAGGTCTGTTTCTCTGCATACTTTGTTAGCCTCTTTTTGCCCTGTTGCCACAGGTATTATTTAGAAGTGGATCATTCTCAGCACTGCAGTAACACTGACATGGTGGTGGTGTGTTAGTGTGTGTTGTGCTGGTACGAGTGGATCAGACACAGCAGTGCTGCTGGAGTTTTTAAACACTGTGTCCACTCACTGTCCACTCTATTAGACACACCTATCTTGTTGGTCCACCTTGCAGATGTAAAGTCAGAGACGATAGCTCATCTGTTGCTACACAGTTTGTGTTAATCATCCTGTAGTCCTTCATCAGTGGTCACAGGACGCTGCTGGCTGGATATTTTTGTTTGGCGAACTATTTTCAGTCCAGTAGTGACACTGTGGTGTTTAAAAACTACAGTAACACTGCTGTGTCTGATCCACTCGTACCAATGCAACACACACTAGTGTCCCAAAACATCAGTTGTCACCACAGTCCAAAGAATGATCACCATCCAAATAATTCCTGCTCTGTGGTGGTCCTAATCATTAAAAAAACAGGGTATAAGGTGGGAACAAGGTACACAGAGAAACAGACGGACTAGAGTCTGTAACTGCAGAACTAAAGTGCACCTATATGGTTAGTGGAGCTGACTGATACACTTAATTAAGTGGCCGGTTGGTGTAGATATCAAAAGTCTATAAACTTACAGAGATCAAGCCTAACCACATCATCATCATCATCGATCTCCATGTCATCTTCACTCTCTGGACCAGGCTCTGGAGTTTTGGCTCTGATGGCAGAGAGAGTACATTAGTAAAACTTATAAAAGCATTGTCTAAGATTCAGTGATACAACATGGCATTAACACAAACCACTGCACATGACCTGATAAACACAGCTCTGTATAACTCTTACAATGTTAATTACACCATGATGCTACCTGTTATACTGAATCTCCTCTTTAAACTCATAATAATCCCTGCCCTTTTCTTCATGAGGCCTCTTGACGTTCGTGCCTTCGTTCTGCCCTTCCACTCTTGTCTCCAATGTGTCTGGTGCCCTGTAGGGTGCTGCAGAACGTGAGAGGAACCAACCATTAGAGGTGTAAAATGCACTGACCGATTGTGATGAGCATGCATTTGCAATGATCAATCCATCTCGATTCACTGTTCTGAAAGGGGCATTTTTGGAAAATGATTATATTCTTCTATAAGAATGTTCAATAAAGTATGTAATCATTTTCTAGTCAACATTTCTGGGCTATTTTCAAAAATAATCCCCAGAAAACTTTATGTATTGTTTTAATCATCTGTATTTCCACTAGTGTCACATTTGTGGATTCAGAATATTTTTTAAATCAATTCTGAATCATGCAAAAATAAATCAAATTGTTGTGAAATTTTAATTGCCATAGTGCACTAAATCGCTTCCTAACAAATCGCTGTGAGGTCACCCTTATAAAAGTGATCTACATTAATACTACAGGAAACTTGTATAAGATGTATAAGTATTATACAGAACTATAGACAACCTCTGTGCAATATTCATGCAGTCCTATCTTAGAATAATCTACAATACTTTTCAGTATTCCACAGTAAACTACAGTAAACACCTGAATTTACTAAGATTTGTATAACAATTCTGTGTAAATGTATGTAGCATTTCTACAGATCTTCTTCATAAGGGTCAAGGTTTTCACCCCTGCCTGTAATACAACAATTCATGCTTGACATCCCATTTTCACTTCTTAAAAGTACTTACACTGGTCATCCTCAGTAGATGTGCAGTCAGGCTGGGACATCAGCACGGTGGACACTGATGAAGAACATGCAGACACCTCACCATCAGCAGCGGGAGGAGCTTCTACAGGGCTGACACTCGACGGCTGTGAGGCCTCCTGGTCACACTGGGTTTCTGGGCTCGTCTGGTTGGAAAGCTGGGAGTGTTTGTCAGAACCCAGCTGATTGTCTTCCTCCTCTTTTCGTCTTTTAGAGCACGAGCAGGGCGGCTGGGAGAGGCTCGTGTTGGCTGTAGGCTCGGTTTCTGTTTGTGTGCTTTGGTCGACATAATCCTGCGACCTGAGTTCAGTGTCTGCAGGCTGGGGCTGATGTTCCTCCCGGGGAGCTTCACAGCCGCCCTCTGCCTCTACCTCAGTAACGTCCGTCCCCACCGTAGCGCTCTGAGGCGCTTCTTTAGGAGAACTGGCTTCGTCTAAAGAGGTTTCTCCTCCGGTCTGTGCAGCTTCTAGTGCCGATATCAGGCGAGCCTGCAGTTCGGCCTTCAGCCCTCTCCAGTCCAGCCCTCGTCCTCGCAACTCGGCCCGCAGCTCGGCCACTTTGAGCTTTTTAACCTCCTCCAGCAACATTTTTCAGATTATGGGAGTGAAATGTAGTCTGACATTTAAAAATACACAATTTTAGCTCTGAAACCGCCGGATTGACCTTTGCTGAACTTCCACAAACAAACTCACAACAGCAGCGGAAAACAGCGCTGCGTGTTGTCGAAGGCGGCCAGAGGAGAATTCAAGCGAGCGTCCTGATTCCTTATTGGTCAGCCAGCCAACAAACCCCGCCTTCCTTATTCCTTATTGGTCATTCGGCCTTCTCGATTCATTCCGCCTCTTCGGTTCTATAGACGTTGTATATCACTCAGGAATAATAATCGCTGTAAAAATATTAATAGAGAGGATATATTATCAGCTTATTCACTCTGAAATAATACTTTATAGATACAATTATTTACTTACAAAATAATTCAAATAATTCAAAAATTACAACACATCAATACTACACTAAATGGGTAAATTAACAGCCGCACAGTGAAATACAGTCAAATGTAAATAAATATAAGTCAAATATAAATAATCAATCCAGAAATAAATAAAATCGTAATAATAACCATATGTTGATGGATTCAAAACGTTCTGATATTTGAGAAAATTATTTCTATCCTTAACATTTGTCATTTTAAGGGATGTAATCAAATGCTCCATTTCTTTTTTTATACACCGACATTTTTGGAATTGAATTTAAAAGTAATTTTTATGAATAAAATGTTTTGCATCTGAGATAAAATAATTAACGACACGTTCATAAGCAGTATTAGAATTTGTGTAGTTACAATAGAGATATTTAATAGTAAAGCAGAATAAACCAGAAAATGGACCAAAAAAAGAAAAGAAAGATATAATTATAAAACAAGTGCACCACTGATTCACTTTCCTCCTCACAAAACGTCTCTCTGAAATGAATAAAACGTGTTTAATTTTTTGTTGACGTCAGCACACTAGTGAGCCGCTGATTGGTTGAGCCCCGGGGATCAGAATTGACGTCATTTTCAACATGGCCGCCCCCTTGGATGACATGTTTTCTCGGTGTGTGGATCCCGGTAAAACCAGTAACTGTGTGGAAGTCCGATTTATCGATAATGTCAAGGTAGGCATCAGTAACAGTGTGGCTGAATGAGGAGCTTCTCCTCTGATCATAAAAAAAGCTCGTCTGGTGCGATTAAGCCGCTTTGCCTGCTGCTGCTGCTGCCAGCGCTGCCCTGCAGTCCTTACAAACGGACCTAGGATAACATTAAAGAAGCACTAAGCTTTCTGTTCTCCTGTATAATAATGCTTCACACCCGCTCGCCAAATTGTAAAATATAGCTTAAGGTATATCGGGTCTCGTGGTTGTGTTTTTTTATGCCAAGCTTGTGCGGTGGACATAACTGTCCATCTGAAGCCATTTCACATGAGCCAAAGCCATGCAGGCCTTACATACTGAGCTCCTGTATTTTCTGTCTTAATCTTTTTTTTTTTTTTTAAATTAACTTTCATATCATAACAGACTGTTGCATTTGAGGGCAGGCTGGTATGGATCACAGACTTACAAATCCAATAATAAAAGAATAAAATAATAAAGAAAGGAAAAAAGACAAGAAAATGAGGGACATTTCAGGTGAACTCATTAGCAGATAAGATGGTAGATGTAAGTAAATGTAGCTTTTTTGCTATACATTTTTACAAGACATTCATATGTGCATATATGATCTACGCGAACATATTTCATCTGGGGTTTGCGTTTCATCACTTGACACTTGTGAATGTAATATTTCCCTAAGAGTGATGTCTTTATCTTTTTAGGGCAAAGGATTGTTTGCCAAGAAACCTTTCAAGAAAGGTGATACCATCTTTATTGAGCAGCCTCTTGTCTGCGCTCAGTTCCTGTGGAATGCTTTATACAAATATAGAGGTAAGTTATTCAGCTGAATCAGCACACAAACTGTAAACATGCAGGCATGTTGATTGTGTTGTTTAACTGTTGGTAAATAAAAGTATTCTGGCTCTGATGTAAAAAGTAAGTTGTAGATGTGAGGTTCTGTGATAGCCTCCTGCGTTTTGTTAACCTGAGCTGACACTCCCCTCTCCCCAGCGTGTGACTACTGTCTGCGCGCTCTAGAAACAGCAGAGCAAAATGCTCGGAGACTCAGCGGTCTGCCTGGCCTCAGCCTGCCTCATCCTGAGCTGTGTAAGGTTCGGCCAGAGCTACATCAGGCTTGCCCACACTGCCAGGTACTGTGCACTCCCTCATTTACATGAATCCTGCAAGCTGTTTGCACTCGTCCTGTCTGATTATTGTGTTACAAGATAATACATTGCAAACAAACAAACAAACAAATAAAAAATAAGAGTTTTTATAGCCACGTATCTGCAAATATTGCCAAAAGTATGTGGACACCCCTCCTAATTATTATGTTCAGGTGTTTCAGCCACACTCATTGCTATTAGGTGTATAAAATCAAGCGCATAACCATACAACCTTCATACACAAACACTGGCAGTAGAATGGCTTGTACTGAAGAGCTCAATGACTTTAAATGTGGCACTGTCATTAGATGCCACCTTTGCCAAGTCAGTTCAAGAAATTTCTGCCCTGCTAGATCTGTTTGGTCAACTGTAAATGGTAAACCACACAGTCTCTCAGTGCAACGCCCCTGAGTGCTGAAGCACACAGTGTGTAAAAATCATCTATTGCTCATTACAGTTCCACAACACCTATAGAAGCAATGTCAACACAAGAACTGTGTGTCAGGAGCTTCATGAAATGGGCTTGAGTGTTGTAAAGCTCGCCACCACTGGGCTCTGGAGCAGTGGAAACATCTTCTCTGGAGTGGCAAATCATGCTTCTTATCTGGCAGTATGATTGGTGAATCTGGGTTTAGCAGATGCCAGGAGAACACTACCTACCTAAGTGCGTAGTGCCAGGAGTAAAGTTTGGTGGGGAAGGATAATGGTCTGGGGCTGTTTTTCAGGGTTTGGGCCCCTTAGTTCCAGTGAAGGGTGATGTTAATGTTGCAGCATACAAACACATTTTAAACAATCATATACTTCACCCTTGGTAGAAACAGTCTGGGAAAGGTCCTTTTCTGTTCCAACACGACTGTGCCGCTGTGCACAAAGTGAGCTCCATAAAGACATGGTTTGATGAGTTTGGTGTGGAGGAGTCCAGTGGCCTGCACAGAGCCCTGACCTCAGCCCCACTGAAGACCTTAGGATGAATTGAAACATTGCTTGCAAGGCAGGCCTTCTCATCCAACTTCAGTGACTCACCCCACAAATGCTCTTATGACTGAGTGGGCACAAATTTCCAATGACACACTCCATAATCTTGTAAACTCCATATTAATGCCCATGGGTTTGGAATGAGATGTCCATTTAGCTAATATAGGTGAGAGGGTCACATGTCCACATACTTCTGGCCATGTAGCATATCTGTTGCAGAACTCTATTACATTAAAAAAGCCAAATGGACCTGTGACATTCTGTAGTTGGTGTCTATATAAGGACCTCCAGCTCTAAGCTGGTTTTCTCCATGAGAAAAATTATCTTTTTTTTTCTTTCAGGAAATGCTCTCTCACCCTTTGATAAACAAGAATCTTTTGTCCTATGTACATTTTCCCCCTGAATGTGACCAAATCTTCTGAATTACAAGGTTGTTAAAGATTTGAAATATGAGCATTGCTACCTCCATGATCTTATGATGTCAGTTCGACTCACAGCAGTGTTAGCTTGCATACATTCGTATTTCGACATTTTAACCTTGTATTTCAGAGAATCCAGTGACATTCAGGGGGAAAATGCATGCACGCAAAACGTATCACATTAGAACACCTTTATTCATTAAAAGGGTTCAAAGTGGTGATTTCAAAAATATCATTCATTTTTTTCCTCGTAGAGAAAACCAGCATAGACCTGAAGGTTTTCCTAATACGGATATGAGACCAACTGCAGAATGACAACACGACTTCAAAGATCTAAAAGCCCCAGTCCTAAATGCGGTTCTTCTTGGTCATCTGAACGGAATACATAACTTTCTTACCTCACTGATGTGTGTTGCCCCCTGCAGGTGATGTACTGTAGCAGCGAGTGTAGGCAGGCTGCCTGGGAGCAGTATCACCAGGTCCTGTGTCTGGGCCCGTCCCGTGAGGACCCTGATCATCCGATCAACAAGCTGCAGGACGCATGGAGGTGAGATGTAAAGAAAAGCTTGGGTTTATCTTTACATGATGAAGGAGCTAAGTGAACTAATAGTTTTTCATTTGTCCACAGTTATCTTGTTTGTTTTGGTGGGACATGTTATTATTGCACACACATATCAAATAGACTGGATATGCTGACTGAGCATGTCTTTCTCCTTTTATTGTCGATGTTTAGGAACGCACACTATCCCCCAGAAACCTCCAGCATCATGCTAATGGCAAGGATGGTGGCAGTTGTCAAGCAGGTACACATTCTTCCACAATCTTTCTAAGGGGTAGATAAATTTTAATTATAACCTTTAGTTTTTTTTCAGTGTTAGTCTTCAAATGTGTTATGGTTCTTTTCTTTGATAGTTAGACAGATTAAAAGCTGCCTAATAACCTTTTTGCCTTTAGTTTTTGCTAGCGTGGATGTTAATGTAGATGTTGCTAGCGTGATCTGGACTGCCATATAGAAGTAGCACCTGTTAAAAAGTATTGAAGGGCTGATGTCCTACATTTTTGTTGTATTTTGTATTTTTCCACTGAGATCCATTTATGATATTAGGGTGGTTTTAAGTACCAAAACAAGCTGTTTTAAATCTTTCTGAACAGCTCCTTACAGCTGTTTTTGTTACTGTACCATTAGGGCTGATTTATGTAAATGATATATTCTGACTGGCTGCCCTGCATTATGTGTCATTCAAAAAGCAGTGTAGGCTCAAACACTGCTAAAATGCTCTAAGCTGAATAGATGGATGTATGTAAATGCAAGGTTTTCATGACTTCACAAAAAGATTGAAAAATATACACCGATCAGGCATAGCATTATGTCCACCTCCTTGTTTCTACGCTCACTGTCCATTTTATCAGCTCCACTTACTATATAGGAGCACTTTGTAGTTCTGCAATTACAGACTGTAGTCCATCTGTTTCTCTGCATACTTTGTTGGCCCCCTTTTACCCTGTTCTTCAGTGGTCAGGACCCCCGTGGACCCTCACAGAGCAGGTACTATTAGGGTGGTGGGTCATTCTCAGCACTGCAGTAACACTGACGTTAGTGTGTGTTGTGCTGGTCTGAGTGGAACAGACACAGCAGTGCTGCTGGAGTTTTTAAACACCTCAGTGTCACTGCTGGACTGAGAATAGTCCACCAACCAAAAATATCCAGCCAACAGCGTCCTGTGACCACTGATGAAGGATAAGAGGCTGACCAACATAAACTGTGCAGCAGCAGATGAGCTATCGTCTCTGACTTTACATCTACAAGGTGGACTGACAAGGTAGGAGTGTCTAATAGAGTGGACAGTGAGTGGACACAGTGTTTAAAAACTCCAGCAGCACTGCTGTGTCACTGTGTGTGTGTATATATATATATATATATATATATATATATATATATATATAGATATATATATATATATATAATATATATATATACACACACACAATATTCCAACATCTAGTGTAAAGCCTTCTCAAAAGCACAGAGGCTGTTAATGCAACAATGGTTGGACAAACTCCCTATTAATATGCTTGATTTCAGAAGAAACTTTAGATAACCAGGTGTCGACAAAGGACATACAGTGTAGAAGCCGTGCTTGTTGATAATTATCAGCTTATAATGTGTACATAGTTGATTTATTTATTTTTTTTCTTCCAGGCTCAGGACAAAGGGCGCTGGCAGAGGCTTTTCTCCCACTTTTGCAGCCGTGCGGCCAATGAGCAGGAGGAGATAGCACATAAGTTGCTAGGAGAGAAGTTCCAGGTTGGAAATGACTGATCCCTTCCATACCGGAGCCATTACCTTTCTTTCATTTCTATGCTTTTTTAACGCTTATCACTTTCTCTCCCCTCAGGGACAACTTGCTTTGCTGCGTAACCTTTTGACCACGGCACTCTATGATGATCACCTCAGCCAAGTCAGTGCATATCTTTTCATAGAGCAATTTCGGAAGGTTTTTTACAGTGGTTTGAATTTCCCCATTACTTTAAAAGTCTTTAAAATTAATGTCATAGGTGTAAAATTGAAGGCATATGAATGATGAAGTGTGGGTGGCTAAGACTGTGAGTAAAATCTCTTTGGTTTTTATGTAGTGGTTCACTCCAGAGGGATTTCGCTCTCTCTTTGCTCTTGTCGGGACCAATGGGCAGGGTATTGGTACTAGGTAAGAGCTATATATACATTACTACTCTTCTCTAAGCCTTGAGGCATTAATTATTTGACTCTGCTTCTGGAGATATTTAGTTCTGAGCCCAGTTGCTGATTCTCTGTCCAGTTCCCTGAGCCAGTGGGTCCATGCGTGTGATGCACTGGAGCTTCCCCACCAACAGAGGGAGCAGCTGGATGCCTTTATTGACCAGTTATACAAGGACATTGATAAAGGTCACTGTTCTTCCAAATACACATAGCAAACTGTGCTGTAGACATAAAAAGATTGATATATGCAATACAAAATGACAGCCGTCTGCACAAATCACACTATTACACTTACTGACACGTAATGCACACAAAAATAAAAGGTATGCTGGCTTCTATATTTATATATGTTGGTTTGCTGAAATGTGAAATAGGTTTGATGGATGGAAGGTTTCTGTAGATTGTCGTTTTCATGCTTGTCTTACAGAAACGGGTGATTTCCTCAACTGTGAAGGCTCCGGTCTCTACCTTCTACAAAGTTCATGTAAGAATAGTGATCTACACTCATTCCATCTCATGTTCTTCACTCGTCTACACTCATTCTGCAGATTTGTACAACACTTTTTAGGCCTGAAGGGTCACCTGTCGCTGTTCCCTTTGTTGTTAAGGTAACCACAGCTGTGTGCCCAACGCGGAAGCATCCTTCCCTGACAACAACTTCCTGCTTCACCTCAGCGCCCTGAGCGACATCCGCCCTGGAGAGGTCAGAGGCTTTACATGTGGCTCAGCACGGGTTACGTCCCACCCCAGGGGGACTAGTTCTTGTATTCAAAAGTTTATAGACTCGTGTTGTCAGTTAGAATTACAGTGCAGGCAGAGGATCGGATCAGTTTTGGCAGCCTGTCAGAGAGAGTGAAAAGGCTTACATCTGCCCGCTCTGGTGCCGTCACACAGGATCTACAAGGCTGTTATTCAGATTGGGGATGTTCTGTTTATCCAGCGGCAAATAAGATTCAAGAGGCTCTATTCTAATAGTCAATAAACTCTTTTACAGTGAAGAATGCTTTAGTATAAACCAGACTGCAAAAAGAATGGTCTGAGGGCAAATACATCCTTGAGTACTTCTTTAGTGCTCAGCTCTAGAGTGAGTCTGAAGAAGTAAGTGCTTCTAGGAATGTTTGTCTTATGTTTTTTGAGAATTAATTGATATCTACTCCTTCTGCTGGGTTTAGGTTTAGTAATATTAAATCGCTTGGTAAATAATTGTCTTTTAGAGGACTTGACTCAGGGTATGCACAGTCATATGCAAAAGTTTGGGCACCCCTGGTCAAAAGATGTGCTTTATTATTTTCTAAGTGAAAATTAATACACGTTCTCTGCAGAGAACACACTTGTACACATTTTAATGCACAATCACTGTTTATTTATTAGTTTTATTTTTTTTCTAGTGTGTTAAACTCAGCAAATAAATAGAAAATGTGCAAAAAAATGACAAATGTAAGTTTATTTCTTGTAGAGGATGTGTGCACTTATTTTCACTTAGAACATCAACAAAACATAACTTCTCTGGGCGTATTCAAGATTAATATCATACTTAATAATAGTAACTTAATAAAATGACTTAATAAAACTTAATAGCACTGTGTGTGTGTGTGTGTGTGTGTGTGTACATATATACACAGTGACTAAATATATAAATAACAGCGCAAATTAGACCCCAGGCAAACAACAGTCTGCATTACTCAAGGCATAAACAAGCAGTTCAAACGTTGTACATAAAGATAAGCAAAATAAAAACAGCATAAAGTACATGCGGCATTAAAAACAATAAATGTAATTAAAATGAAATTCAAAACAGACAAAGAGTAAATGGAACAGAGAATATATAGTAAAGTGCTAAAAGGCATATGCTAGCCTAAACAAATATGTTTTAACTGGTATATAAAAACACATATAGAGCTTACATTCCTGAGAGAAAATGATCTTCCACCATCTGAGCTGTAAGTGATCTTAGGGGCCTGTAATAAGCCTGCCTCAGTTGAGCAAAGGGGTCTGGAGAGGTTCTGTAACATGTTAATCTAGAAGTTATGAAAGCATAAAATGATTTCTCGGCATTTTGGAGGGATGGCATGCGTCTTATTTTGGAGACAGTCGTATGCAAAAGTTTGAGCACCCCCAGTCAGAAATGTTTGGTTGATAATAAGCTAGCACATCCTCTGCAAGGAACTTTAATTTGATTTTTCTTTTCTAATTTTATTGCACAGCTTCCTTTTATTTTTAACATGGAGGAAAAAAATATAAAACATATAAAAGTTTTGCATAGGCCGCATGTATGTTTTGTTTTTTTCCCCGAACATGTTAAACTCATCAAACAAACAGTAATTTCACAGTACATTAAAATATACAGAAGTGTGTTTTCTGTAGAGGGTCTGTATTTTTTTGCCATCATCAACAATTCAACAAACAACAAAACATGCAGTTTGACTAGGGGCGCTCAAACCTTTGTATACTTCTGTGTGTTCCTCCAATAGTAAAATGCAGTCTTGGAGACATAACTGATATGGGACTCAAATGATAAACAAGCATCCAGTGTTACACAAGAGTTTTAACTGTAGCTTTTGGTTGCAAGGTCAAGGATTAAATCTGCAACCTTATTTCGAGCAGATCTTTTATGTTGGACTGAGTGATGTATCCTTTTTACCTTCCACCCTGGATCAAACATGATCAAGACTATCCTTTACTGTTGTTAAGACATGATCAGAGCCAGAAAAATCAATTTGGTGTTCTTGGTCTACAGTTGAGCTTTAACCATAGACTGGAGGCTGCAGCCTTTACAAGAATAACATCTCTCCACAGCTAGTTATCACCTGGGTGAAGCACAGATTCCGTTGCAGAGCTAATTGGTAGTCGACTGTAACCTTCCTCTCATTAAATTCTTTATTCTGGGCTCTCTGTAGGAAATCTGCATCAGCTACTTGGACTGTTGCCAGCGAGACAGGAGTCGTCATAGCCGGCACAAGATCCTGAGGTAAATGAATGTAACCCCTTGTCTGAGCATCCTCTGCGAATAGCCCATGTTGAGGCAGCCTCCAGGGGGGATCAATGACTTTTCAGCAGGCTTATGCCAGTGGGATCAGTGGGGGTTAGCGAGGTTAGTGCTTGGGCCCCTGCTCTCTATTGATCGCTTACTTGTCTATTGACAGTCTGAACGGTACAAGAACAGGGCAGGTTTATTTGGAAATTCCACTTGATCTGTGGTATATTCACTTTATCATGCAAGACGTCTCACTTCACGCTGAAAAGCTGCTGTTGAAATCTCTGGCTGTGAAGCTGGAGCACAAGCAGGCTTCCTCCCCATGACTTATTAGCCATCTTTCATGTATTGGAGAGGTTCAAGAGACCTTGAGAAAACCTGGAGTTCAGTAACTCCAGGGGGGCGATAAAATGCAGCCTTGTGTGATAATGTTTTTTTTTAGCCAAACAACCAAGTTTGCAGGTGCAAAAGTGAATATTCCTGACAGTGTAAACTAGCGTCTGACTGAGATCAGATAGCTGTTGCATGGATTTATCGTTGAAATTCCCACTGTTAAAGAGCCTATATCCTACATTTTGCTTGTATTTTTTTTTCCACTGGGGTAAAACCAAGCCAACATTATAATTCGTTTACATGACCATTTTAGAGCTTCTCCTTATCTCTTACACAGGCTGTTTTTGTTATCAGGTCTTGAACACAAAACACCAACATGACAAAAAATAAAATAAAAACCTTTAGTTGGAGGTAAATATGTCACAGCACAAGCCCTCGGAGCAGATATAAAGAAACCAACAAAACCGCTAACAATTCTGGGAAGCCACCCCCGCCCCCTGTTTGTTTTTATTCAAGTTTTATTCAAGTTTGCTGTTTATTTAAGTTTATGAAATGTCACAGTTGGGAATTGACACTCACATTTGACAGTTCACACTTTACAACTGACAGCCATGTCAGTCAGTGCACCACAATTTAACTAAATCTTGTGGAGTGCTCAAACAGCATTTACAGGCTTTGAATACTAATTTATCGAATTCTCATTTATTGTAATTTATCATAGTTTAAGGCACAAATTTTTGGCTTAAAACTGACAGTATTTCCAGACACCATATAGAGAAATGAGTACCAATGTATCAAATAAATCTCGGGTATTCAAACTATTTGGGCCCCTCTGAAATTTTTGAATACATAAAATTATATCAGATGATAATTTCGGTTCAGATTATCAGAATTTTTAGCTTGGATTAAAATTAGTATCAGTGACCATTTTTATATTAATAGGGCCCAAGTTTAAATGAAGCAAACGCATAATTACAGTACTGTGAAAATCAGAGACCACACTTCATTTATTTACTTTACAGCCAAAAAGGTTATTCAATAAAACGTTATTCATTTTCTTAGCATCAGAAAGTTTTCAGTAACAGCAAATTGCACAGAAGCCTCAACAACTAAATATAAAAGCCATTTTTTTCAGTATTCAGAGTGTTTTCCCTTTGCCTTTTGCAGTGTCCACTCTTTTCATGAGCCTTACTTTCAAGGAAATCTTCAGGGATATTTTTCCACTCCTCCAGAATTCTTGGAAATTGTATTTTCTGCTTCTCATGATCCAAATAATCCCAAACACATTCAGTGATGTTGAGGTCTGGACTCTAGGGTGGTCAGTCCATTGGTCTGAGAACACCAGCAGCTTCTTTGTTTGATTTGCAAATTTTCTTCTTTGTTGTCTTATTTGCTTTTTTTTCAGTAAGGGCTACTTGGCAGCTACACATCCTTTCAGACTCATAGTGTTGTTGTCTTCTCACAGTGGAAGGATGGTCAGATCTGAAGCAAGAGCGGAGCTTGATTTTCTCCTCTCTCTCAAAGATGAAAGCTTATAGTGCTGTTTGTCTGATGGTGAATGGTAGTTGTGAATGGAAATTATGTAAATGAAGGGTGGTCTCTTTTGCACAGCACTTAACATAACAATACAACTGTCTTTTTTTTTTCCCTCTTTCTTGTGTCTTCTCCTCAGAGAGAACTACCTGTTCGTGTGCTCGTGCCAGAAGTGCATGTCCCAAATGGATGATGCAGATGTGACATCAGAGGACGAGGATGAAGGAGAGGGAGAGACGGAGGGGGATGACATGGAGGACGAAATGACGGACGTGTGATGAAGATTAAGTTTCAACCACCTACATATCTTTCTGTGGACGTTTACACTGGGTAGCATCACCTTAGAGAAAGCACTCATTTCACCCAAGAGAACCTGCCTCGATGTTCATACGGCAGAAGGCTAACACCCCAGGCTATGCAAAGTATCTCTTCTGTGTCAGTTTCTACACCTTTTCTGGATTCTGTCCCATTAGTAGTTACCTGCTGAGAAGACTGCCATTTTCATCCCTCAAATCATTAATTACAGACTGATCCACTGCACCTGTGTAGGATTTAAGATGGTGCTCGAATTTTCTCTTAACTCAAGCTTATATGGTTACATTATATAACTTATGGTTATAACCAATAGAACAAATCAGAGACCAGGTGCCCGTCTATGCACTGAGGTATGATATTTAGATTTAGGTCGCGGAGCGTAAAGCTTTAGGTTTAATGCGTCGTAGAGAAGTGGTCCTACATTTCTCCGTCTGTGGAGAGCTTTATCTCATATACTGTATGCACAAACAAGTGACCATGCAGCATGTTTACCAAAATTGTAGTTTACTCATCTCAAAACCAGAGGTCGTGTTTGGTTTATAGCCCTCTGAGCAGTTCCAGCTTGCTGTAGCAATTACACATCACAGTAAATGATTGCGGCTCTGGCAGTGCCCCTAATGTGGGAGAGAGCCCGGAGTTCAGAGCAGGTCTAAGTTGATGGACCGTTATGTGGCAGGTATGCAGTGAGTTAGTTCTACTGTATCAGCTGCCAAGCAGATGAATTTTGCCTCAGGATTCTGTTTTTGATGTCAAACGAGGACAGTCTGCAGTGTTGCAGCAGATAGGAAAATCCTGGCAATCGCATTTTATACCTCTTGTCATAATCCTTCGGCACTTAATACAGTCATCCTCTGTTTACGAAATTCATCTTCGAACCCTCGCACTTTCCTCCTGTCGCGGATGCCTTTATTGACAATTTCCTCCTGTCTGTTCCATCAAGCACACGCCAAAACAATTAAACATTTAAAGGCGGCAGATGCTAAATAAAACATAACCGAAGACCTTCTGACTGCAATAATAATCACATGTGACAGTTTGAGAGTGCTCTACCCTTAAAATTGAAATGATTCCTTTTTTGAACATTCAGTGCTTCAGTGCTTTTTTATCTTGCCGAAGCATCAGACCAAATAATGAATAGATTAGCATACACTAGTGGCATGTCCTCCCCACCCCCTTTGCATTTCCTCTTTGTTCTGCCATCAAGACTCATATTTTGTATATGGCTTAAAGCTGGTGCTGAACTAGGATCAGTTTTTTGTCTATTCAGTGTCATTTTTATGGGCCGGTGGTAACTGAGCACTGATCAGCTGGCACATTCTGACACACTTATGGATCAGTTATTTTTGTTCATGACATTTTGATGGTCACAGAAAAAAAGCCATTTAAGATGCAATAATGTAAAAAAAAATCATAACACTTTATTTGAAGGCTGCCTTCAAAGGGACTTCAAAAGCACTGTCATTGAACGGCATATTACAAAGCAATAGTAGAGTATTTATGAAATGTGTGTTTGTCATAATATGCCCACCGATGTAATGTAAACAGTAATATGACAAGAATGACATCTTTACGTCCGTCTACCAATAAATGTGAGGACGCTCTTTCATAACATAATAGTAATAAATAATACATATTTTCCTTCAGAGATTACTTTGCAATACAGCAGCTCATCTTGTGAGTACTTACGATACATACATGCCATATATATCTATGTCCATACATCTTGTCGCTGTCGGAACAAAACCTCGTATCTCCAAAATGGTAACTTTACAGGGGAAGGAAAAAGCATTGCTAACGTATAATGGAAGTTAATGTAGCAAGATTTCCAAGTCATTTTAGACCATTTCTATTGATCCAATCATCATAAAATTTTGAAACGGTAACTGGAGTTTTCGAATTATGCTAAAAAATAGAAAACAACAAATTTACTCAGCAGCAACGATATGTACCCTTATTTCATTTACTTTGTAAAACATCTCATCTTGTGAGATCTTATGATACGCACCATAAATTTGTATACCTATTCCCTTATGTCAATACAATGTCATTTACTTCATGAAACATCTTGTGTCATCTTGTGAACACTTACCAAAGGCTTTCCCAATTGTTCAAGCACTTTTTGAAATGTTATTCAATGCTTATGTATGTTGAATAGATTCTCTATGAAGTTAGCTTTCAGTTTGCTAAAATACTGTTATGGTTTATGATCTATAACAAATTTTTTAAGCCCAATTTTAAAAATACACGCTGCATCTGAAAACCATTTCTGCATGGCCATTTGTGAATAGGCTCTTTAAAGGCTAGCTAAACAGTGATTTTATCATTAGCATTGAATAGCATATTTGCAAAGCATATGTCAGATTCGCAAGATGACATGGTGTTCCTGTTTATCATGGTATACTTACTGATGTAATCTCAATATAATATCAGTATAATGCTACAGTGTTACAGTTCATGAAATAGGACTTAGAACCCTTATAAAAATCTGCATCTATCATACATATTCAGTACGACGTCATTTATATCATAAAACATCCCATTATCTTGAGAATATCTATGACGCATAAAGACCATACATTTTCATACATATCGCTGCTGTTGGACCAAAACCTCATATCTTCAAAATGGTAACTTTACAGCAGAAGGAAAAAATATACATTACTTTTAATGTAAGTCAATGGAACCAGACATTTTTTTCAAGTAAATTTGGGCTGTTTCTTTTGGTCCCTTCATCTTGCAATTTGCACAGTATGAAGGACAGTAGGTAATTTCAAATTATGTCAAAAACTGAAAAATGACAAAAATGGAGATACGAGCTTTCAGTCCGAGAGCAGCGATATGTTCCCTTATGTTTGTCCACTGTCATTTACTTCATAGAGCATTTCATGTCATCTAGTTAATACATACCATAGGCTGGTCACTAATGTATTGCATTTTAAATATTGTCACTGCCCAAAAAACATATCTATCTCCATTTTTGTTGATTTTTATTTTTCTACATCATTTGAACTCAGCTGTCCTTATATAGTGTGAAAGTTTCATGATGAAAGGACCAATAGAATGTCTTGAAATAAACCCTCTTTACATTACTTTACACTAAAAGTAAAGGACGTTTTTGCCCTCTCCTATAAAGTTAACATTTTGGATATAGATGTTTTTCTTTGGACAGCGACAGTATTTTACTCAGTGCTTATCTATAGCTTATGAAGTCTCTACGCAGGTAGCCTTCAAATTACCCCAAAAAAAAATGTTACAGTTGAGGATGTAGGACTGTTTTTTTTTAAACCCCTTGTAAAAAAGGATACATGCTGTATCTGCAGTCCATCTCTGCGGGGCCGTTTTTGAATCAGCTCTCGGCTCTGTGCCTCTGGGTGATCTCTTGCTGAATGGGGCTGTAACATGAGTCGAACATCCTGTGTGTGAGGATGAAAGGGGAAGCATTATGAGGCAGAGGCGATGGACACCTGGGGCCGTGCCTGCGAGGAATGACCCCTAGAGCTCGGGCCAAAGGCGCACCGGGAACTCTCCGGAATGTTCTGGCAGAACGGCCCACTGTGAATACAGCCACACAACAGTGTCGCTTCAGATCAGCCGAACATGAGGGGTCGGGGAGCATGGCCTGCAAGGAAAGAGCCCGATAGAGATGTTTAAATGAAGATAGAGGGAGAGGAGACGGAGGGGGCTGGACACGAGGGCACAACTTGAATGAAAGACAATTATAACCAGCGAAGGGAAAAAAAAAGAATAAGTCTTTATTCCAACAAAACCCGAGGCCGGAAAGACTGAATTTACATTTCAAAATGAGATTGGAGAGGAATGGGGAGGGGAGGGGAGGGGAGGAGAGGAAAAACAGGCACATTATGATCATTGCAAACTCACGCAGAGCAACTGAAATAACACAATTTGCATCTTGTGATTAAAACGGTTGGATCTTGTTTAAGCATATTTGTGACATTCAGATTCATTTAGATGCATTCGCAAAGCCAGCAATTCCAATTTAATATACAATTGTTTACATGTGGAGATAGCTAATGCTAACGATGGCTTTTGTTTGAGTGCTCCCGTTGACTCACGCACAGCATGTTCACGTTTGCAGTTTCACTACATTAACTCCAGTCACTTGGACCATGTTCCCCTCAAACGACACCAATAAAGACAAGTGCAAAAACTCCTTCTCTTCTTTCAGCCCTGTGCAACAGAAGACATGACATATTTTTCCTTGAGGCTGTTTGAATGTTTTTACTGTGTGTTGGTTTGGAGTGTTTTTCTTTAATTTGTTTTTTCTTTCTGTCTGTCTTTTTCTACCCCTCTTTCAATCCTCGAGTCTCCCTCCCTCCCTCCCTCCCTCCCTGTTTCTTTTTTCTTTCCCTTTTTGCCTCCTATCCCTCTATCTTAATCTTTTTCCCTTTTTTGTTTCTATCTCGTTTGCTTTCCTTCTGCCTGTTATTTCTGTCTGTTTTTCTTGTTCGGTTTCCCTCTTTTTTCTGTTCTCTTTCTTTCTTTATTTCTCTGTCGTTTTCTTTCTTTTATTCTTTCTTTCTTTCCACCTACCCTGCATGGCCAAAAATATTTGGACGTGTTCAGATGTTTCAGCCACACCCTTTGCCAACAGGTGCATAAAATCAAGCACATAGCAATGCAGTCTCCGTAGACGAACATTGGTAGTAAAATAGGTCGTACTGAAGAGCTCAGTGACTAATGTGGTACTATCATGGGATGCCACTGTTGCCACAAGTCAGTTTGTAAAGTTTCTGTCCTGCTAAAACTGCCCCGGTCAACTTTAACCACTACAATTGTGAGATAATAGATCTGATCATACTTTTCCCCTGTAAAAAGCATGTCAACACATACGTTTTATGTTAACACAATCCGTTTATGCTGGTGTTAAACGTGGTCAAGATCCATTTCTGATCACCTCTGAATGTGATTTGAGTGATCCGATCGCAGTCTGAATGCAGTGTGTCCTGAGGGTGTTTATACCTGACTTTTCATGGGGTCAAGTGAAACCTGAATGTGATCCGATCAACAAAAATGCATGTTAATGCAAGGTGTAAACAGGCCCACTGTTGCCTCGCTCACTATTGTGTTCCAAACTGCCTCTGGAAGCAAT